ATTGCATCCGTCTGGGGGGCCGCAGCTCATCACAATGTTGATATATGTTGATATATGTTGATATATACATATATATATATGTATACACGGCGCTGCGTTTGATCTGTGGCGGATCTGTGGGCTTCCTGCTCGGCCTGTTAGGGGGATTAACGCGGCGTGGCGCCGGCGTCCTGTGTTCCTGCGAGCCGAGAGAGACGAGCTGATAGTTTAATCCGACTAACGCGACGTTTTGGTGAAATGCTGAAAAAAGACAGAAAGGTGCAGCGAACGTTTACCACACGCGTCTCCGTCTCGACGGGTCAATCGGCGGAGAACAGAACCATCGGGAGACGGTTCCTCCTCCACTTACTGATCAGAGCTTTTACTACGTTGTGTTACATTTTAATTATTAGGGTAGAACTTCAAAGCAACTTGACTACTTAAAACACGAAGCAAATGGAAAAATAAACCACATTTTGAAGTTCTGGTAAGCAAAGGATTGTTCGGTTGCCAAATGGGAAACGTGTTTCCAGTTCCGTGATTGAAACACCTCAAAATGTCCACTTTACACAGCAGACGTCTCGTCTGCCGAGCTCTTCACCATCTTCCAATCCTCGCAGAACAGAAATCAACCAACTCAATCGATGTTATCTTCAAAGAAACCAACAACAATACAGGATTTTATCTTCGCGTGAGCCTCATCATCATCATCCCCATCATCCTCCTCCTCCTGCAGTAACGTGACATCGCTGTCGTCCATTAGGGAATAACTGCTATTTAACCACTAATCTCCATGACCCCAAACTTCCTCCTCGGGTGCAGCTCCGATCTCACTCGACTTCTCGGAGACTGTCATCTTTTGTGATGAAGCCTCAACTTAAAATAAAAGGTTTGAGGGAGTCAAGGTCAGCGGAAGGACAGAGCTGCTCCCCAAAGGGAGGACGACTTTGGAAAGACAACACTTTACAATCAGGGGACACTCAAATATCTTAAATCTGCTGTTCAGCTGCGTTTGTTTCAAGCTCTTATCTACAAGTGATTAGTTTATTCTGATTTATTACAGCAGGGTTTTTTAGGATGGAGTCCCTCTCTGGCTAATTCAAGTCATCTCCCGCCCGCATCCACATCCATAATCAGCTGACCTTTATTCCAAACCAGATAGATTGCAGTATTGATGCTGCCAGCTCTCAGCTTCATCAAAAACAACAGAAAAGCAATTTGAGACGGAGGAGAGAGTCTGGAAGCCTTCGCGTGACGCGGCACGAACCAAAAGAGACGGCGTCCGGGGGTCGTCGAGTCACGATGAGTTATGACCCGCCACGCGCCCGCCACGCAGGGATTCACACGGCCATTCGGCCTCGTAGACGGACCTGAGCTCCAGCTGCCTCGGCTATAATACAGATGTGCCCCCCCCCCCCCCGGGGAGGGTCCTAATTACCCACACTCGCCCGGCTTGCGTTTCAGGAAAAAGACAAAGAGCAAACCTGATTCTCCCAAAAGCAACAGTGTGGTTACGCATGAACCGACAGCCAGTCAGCTGGAGTGTCTGGAGATCCGTCTCCATGACAACTGGAAGAAACTCCATCGCTTCGTCCGACTGGAAGAATGGACATCTGATGCTAAATGTGCGGGTTCCCGGACGAATGCCTGAAACATAAAGAACTCTGCATCTTTGACACCTCCCTCCCCCCCCGACTGAGCTCTCAGCATCACTGTGCTGAGCTTAAACAAGTCTCTCACCCTTCATCTGTTTTTGTCACCGGCGGCCCACCGGCAAGGCGCCGCGCGCCACTGCGTCCAGATTGCGGCAAGGCGCGAAACCTTCCGCGGACGCGGTTCTAAAGCAGGGGCCCTGGAGGGGGGGGGGCGAGGGGAACGTGTCACGCTCCAGCGGCGCCGTAGTAATCAACAGGCGGATGACCTCTGCTCCCATTCACAGATGAGACCCCCCCCCCAAAAAAAAGAGATAAATCAAAAACTCAGCGGATACTTCTTTGGTTTATTTGTCTTATTAAACTTCATTCATTAGTTCACGTGAATGAGAATGATTCTCACCTGAACATGTTCACATGACATGAAACAATCTGGAAACAAATCACAGCGTTTTAATATATTTGGAATACTTTGTTAACTAAGTTTACCTGAAAGGCGCTTTGGATCTCTTTGGACACGCGAGTGAACATGAACTCTGATCTGAAAGCATACCAGTGATTTGAGAATCTTAGTCATGAACTGTCTGAAATGGAACGGCTTCCTGTGTAGGCGGAAGATGTGGGAGAGTTTCCATCAGGTTTCACACAATTACCCTCGACGAACCCACTTCGCCGTAAAAAAGAGCTGAGATCAGGAGCCCTAAACACTCGCGCACGAACACTTGAACACTGACTTTCAGCTCATTTAACGGCTTCCTGATTCCACCTGAGCGAGTCCAGAAAGCATCAACTGTTCACCGGCCACGCCGATTATTTCTAAACACTCAAAGGTCGGACAGAAGACCAACAGATGTGAAGTGCAGAGGCGCGTTTCGGGGATCTTCGGGGGGTGCGCGTGTGGAGTTCGGGTCCCCGGGGCCGGAAAGGCCTCTGCAGCCGGCGTGAAGGTCCTCCTAACCCCTGGCCGTCCCTCGGAGAAGACAGCCCCCGTCCCCGGCAGCGGTGTCTCCTCCGTCAGCTCCCTTTACGCTGTTGCTGCACAGCGGTCAGGGCGCTCTTTAGGACAACGGGCCTGAAATGATAAATTTCACTCCACTGCTCCTAACTGATTCAACCAGAAATGGCTGCGCACCGCGCATGACGTTCGGCAAGCGGCGGCGCTGTCGACATTCTAACACCTCCTCTCGCCGCTTGTCGTCCCGCGTTGCCCGGGAAACGACCACATCTCCTCATTTATCTCCCACTTTTAATAACAGCAGTCTCACCGGAGCGTCGCCCTGCGTGTTTTTCCCAGCATTTCGACGTATGAATTCAAGGGGTTTACGGGCACCTCGCTGCACGCTGCTGCCAGGCGAGGAGCATGAGCCACAGAGGGAGACCTTCGCTTTGTTTCAGAGCCGCGTCTAAAGAAAGGCCTGGCTATAAAAACAATTCCTACCTTCATTTGTTACTTTCTTTGAAAGAAACGATCTTTTGGTGACTCTTGGTTTAATGCTGCTGCTTCGCAAATTGAGTTAAACCCATTGGGTTTTTTTCTGAAAGTCACAGGAATTGGGATGCACAGCAGAGAGAAACACGATGAGTCCGCTCTGTCATATTCCCCCCGGGTCAGAGCTCGCCGGCATATGCAGATGGATCAAGCATCTGCAGCGTAAAACACATACTAGCAGCTCCTCCGTCAACAACTGCGTGATAGAATCCCACAGTTGCCGCGGAGACAGAGAAACACACACGCTAGAACGGATGAATGGCGGAACAAACACTTTCCTCATCACTATTTGTTTACTTTAAAATGTGCCGGCACAATATGTCGAGTAGGGATGAGGTTAAGTTCCATAACCGACGTGTTCCTCCCAGCTGATGTAGTCACAAGGAGCTTTGTCCTTATATATACGATATCTACAAATACCTAAATGCACCAAAACAACAGGTGTTTTTTGTGCCAGACGGCAACTTCCAGATCTGAAGAGCCCTGAGTCTGTGAAATACTTGAGTTAGAGTTGTCTGTTTTAAGTCAGCTATGATATGATACAACTTCATATGATGATGAAGATTTATGTGCTTATAAAAAAAAAGCAGCCACTGGCTCCTCCCACGCTTCATTGCTCCTCTGCCGCATTTGAAGCCGATTCCACGTGGACGTTCTTCAGGGGAGTTAAAGCACGGAGGAGGTGCTAACGACAGTTTCCATAAGTGCATTTACAAATCCATAAAAGCAACGGGTGTTTTCATCGCTGGTGCAAATATCAAGGTGTGAACGATGCAACGAGTGGGTGATATTCGGCCCCCGCGCGGCCTCTCTGCAATATCGTAGCTCTTGAAACGTTTCATCGAGCCGGGAAGCGACCGACCCATTCGGGGAAGGACAAAGGATGAGGTCACGCCATGAATCGTCTCGGTTCGCCACTCCAACGGAGGCAGGAAGCCTCTGGGTTTGAAGAAAGGATGGTTAATTAGATCAAGCGGGGGGGGTGAAGGGGTCGCACTTCCCGCCCGGGGCTCAACCGACGCGCCGTCGCACACCTCAAGCGGGAGGAAGGTTGCTATGGAGATAATTCCACCTCCGATCCCAGAGTTTTGATTTCTCATCAAGGAAAAAAGAAGCCTGACAGCAACGTTACCGCAAAGCTCGTAGTCTTCATTAAGCCTTTATCTTCGTGCTAACTTTCATAAATGATAAAAAGCGTTTTAAACTAATTGAGCTGTTCGTCGGTAAACAGCCTCCGGCCCATTTGAAGTGTAACAATTGAATCACGTCCGTTCGTTCTACCACTTTACAGCCGAGCCGCCCACTCGGAGCCCACGAGCGCCTCGTTTTTATCACTCTGCCGCGTTTCTCTTCATCTCGTGTTGCTCCGCGTCTCGTCTTTGGTACTGTAGACACGAGCCGGGGGGGCGAGTACAGGAGGTCAGCACATTGGTCAGGGGTCACCCCCCCCCCCACCGACTGTAATCTCCACGGCAACGGCTGGAGAGGGGAGGGGTTTTTGCATCAAATGTTAAAAGACACATGTTTCATGCACTGACTTTTTCTAAAGAGATTTTAGGCTCTTTTGCCTCCATCATCTGTTGCACTGGTGCAAATATAAACACATCCAAAATAGACATTTCGCTACACATTTCTAAAAGGGAGCACAGAGTGTTTTCTGATTCACAGAGGGGACGTAATGAGATATCCACGATCTGTAAGAACCTGCAACATGTGAAATGAAACGGGAACTTTGGAGCTGAAAACGAGACACGCACTCCCATTATTACCCCGCCGGGGAGGATGAAAGGGGAGCCGCTCGGGGTCCTCCTCTCCACAACCAGCCGGTTGTCGTGTCACTAATTTCCTTTCCTCCCTCTTCTTCCGATCCGTCTCCGCAGCCACGTTGGGGACCTTGGAATTCAGTTTGCAGTACGACCAGGAGAACAACGCACTGAACTGCACCATCAACAAAGCCAAGGTGAGTTCCCCGGGGTCACGTCACCGACATCACACATCTGGCCTTGGATGTGCTTTAGATGCTTTCTCGCAAGTTTTCCCCCGTCGGATCGAATCGTAACGAGGCGGATCGACATTTCAATACGTTTTAATTCAACAACTGCCAGACATGAGCACAGCGGCCTGCTCTCCGGAGAAGGCGGAATGGAGTCTTCACACGTCCCACTGTCAGGATGTTTAAATACATCGCTGCAGCAGGAAGCGTTCATTGTTTCTAAAGCACAGTGCATAGTATGTATAATACACTGTATAGATTATATATACAGCGGGGAGAACACTGCCAATTTTGCAAAGCACGTAGGAGTTTGTAAGGACATCAGCGATAAAATAACAAATTGGTGGAGACCAAAAGCGAGCAAAAAGGAATATTGGACAGTCAACCTCGACTCTTTAATAAAAACAGCACATTATCATTATCAGAGTGGACCTTTAGGTTCAATTTTCCTCTATTTTTAATAATAATATATTTCTTCACGCCGTGAGAAGACCATCTGTTCGTGTTTGAGGTGTAAACCTGCTCGTGCTGCACTTTACAACCTACACGTTTTCCTTTTTTTCCCGTGAATGCAGAGCGGAATTTCTTCAATCGTTTCCGTGAGCCCGACGGCATCCAGTGATCAGTCCACAATCAATTCCCTCAGCTCTCTCTTTTGATCAGCAACACTGTTCTTCTCACTCAATAATTAACTCCAATCACATCCCCCTTGTCTCGCTCTCTCCACAACGAAAGTGCAGAGAGATGTTTAGGATTCGGAGCCGGACGGCACGAAGCCGACGTCGACGGAAGCTCAACTCAACACGATAATGTTAACAAAGGTCATTGCAGCGTTCACAACGGAAGTGTGTTTTTTATAACACACACAATGTGAGCGCGTTGGTGTTGTTTTAGCCGTGAGACGCCGGAGGGATGATGCATGTTTAGATTTTGGAATCTCGCTGGATTCCTCGACAAAAGAAGGCCGGGGAGGGCAGCAGGAGGTCCAGGTCTCCAGAGCTTTTATGCAACAGAGCTGTAATTAAGATGCTGAAGAGCCAGCAGGTGGGAAAAGGTCCCCAGTTGTGGTGCATGCAGAACTTAATGGTGACATCGCTGCACTGCAGAGAGCTTTACCTCCAGACTCAATGGCTCAGAGCACGAAATATATTCATATTAATTCTTTTCTTTTATTGCACGCGTCGCAAACCGAAGCGGAAAGCTAAATCACGGGATGCATATATTCAATATGTGTTCGGTTAAAGTTCAACTGTCAATACAGTTATTAAAAATAAATGAATTCCAAAGAGAAACTTTCACACTTTACATTGAATCCCTGCGAGCGGCAGAAGGGGCCTGGCTGCGTATCAGGGGCCACCGCATCAGAATCAATGCTGCTTGCAGGCTTCCTCCGGCTAATGGAAAACCACATTAGCATTGATGAATTATTCAGTAAACACACAATCCAAACATCTAGCATATTGTGGGGGGGGGTGGACTGCATTTACAAACCACATCTAACTTTTTTGTGGAGTCCGAGTCCCTCGCCTGCGTTCCTTATGATGAAGTGGCGTTTCCCCCCAGCAGCCATGACGCTTCCTGTCGGAAAAGTGGCATCGGAGGAGGCGGTCTTGGCAGGCGCGCTGGGCGGCAGAGGTGGGCATCGTGCCATCTTGATTTATGACGGTTGTTTTCTATACTGCTCTGCTGCCCAGCCAGCCAGAAAGAAAAAGAATAATTATTATTTTCTGTTGCCGCAGTGGCTTCAATAATAACCGTGATTGAGAGAACCTCAGTTAATCGTTCCTCTGATTGGAGCTCGTGGAAGAAAGAGAGAGAGATTCTGATAATCCTGCTCGGGTTAGCGATCGGATATACACGTCCCTCTTCGTAGTCAATCAAAATAAAGAAGATAAAGAAGACATCACAACACACAGTGAGCATTTTTCCTTGCTTTGTACTGTAACACGATTCTGCTTCGGTTGTCGTCGGTGCAAAGCGCGACAACAAAGGCAACGTGACGCGCCTCCTTCCTCCAAACAACGCTTGCGCTGATGCGTCCTCCAGCATCTCAATGACGCTCTCGTGGATTAAGCGTTTCTTCTACGGGTGTCGTGGAGCAATTTAAAAGGTGGCGGCAGTACAGTTTCTTACCGAACCGGTTAATCCACTTTGCAGAAAGACTTTTTTTAGGTGGAAATGGAGACGCGTCTCAGAGCGGCGTAATGAGGACAAACAGCCCGCAGCCTCATGGTGACGTTTAATCAAATCCTTCACCTCGACCTGTCAACTGCTGGAGAGACAGTGTCTTCTTCTTCTCTTTAACCCCGCCCCACATTTCAAACATTTCACCTCTTTGCTGCTTGCGTTGTACGGTTTGCGGTGAACGCTTTGTCTTCGGAAATCGTCTCTTGGGTCCACAATCCTTTGTTAAGACGCTGATGGTTCTGTTGGACCCGGACCTTTCGGGGCGGGACGTGTAGCAAAGCTTTAACTCTTCACCTGGCTGGCGTCACTCCGTCGATAACTTCCCCTCCTCGCGGGGGGGCGGGAGGGGGCGCAGGAAGTGAAGCAGGCCGCATCCATCACGATGGATCACATGATGGAAATAAGTCAATTTAGCCCCTCGAAATAGGCTTTAATTGAGTTAAAACGGGAGCAGGAGCGCGCGTGGTCGTTGGGAGCGACGGACGTTGCTCAGAGCGACCGGTCGGGATTGTGTGGGATCGAACGCAGATAAAAGGAGCTCAGCCTTTTGGGGGGGGTTTCATCCTCCACGGAGCAGCTTCTCCCTGTGAGGCCGTGTTGAATGGTACAGATTGACTCAGAGATTATGCTCAACGTCACCGACAACGCTTCCTTTTCTCAGAGTCTCATTCGACGCAGTAAAAGGGCACGCCGAGGGGTCCGAGGCGCGCCGATGACTCACGGGCGAGGTTTCTGTGCGTAGACACAGCGCTCGAACCTCTTCACCTCTTCACAGCTCAGAGAGCGAGAGGGGCACCGCTCAAGATCAGCGGTCAATAACTAATTGGGTGGAAAGGCCGAGATAACCAAATGCTGTAATTAATCCGGGGCCTTGAAGATCAAGGTGCTTTACTCGGTGACGCTGAGCCACAGGAGAGCTGTCGCTATGGATCATGTATGAATACGAGAGCAGCCGACATCACAACCTTTTCAAACTTATTCATTAGAACATTTTGTCGTCGTGGAAAGATGCGTCGTCTAATTTAACCGAAGCGGCGTTAACGGATGCAAAGATCCACACAAATTTTAAAAAATGCCTCAATATAGTATAAAAATGGTGCAAGTGAGTTCAGTTTGCTTTAGAGGAATGTGCCTTTTGCAGACCCGGAAGGACGTGGGGCTTCTCGGGGCTCCTCAGGGCTCCTCGGGGCTCCTCGGGGCTCCTCGGGGCTCCAACCCACCACAAGCTGGCTGGTTCTGCAGCTACCTGAGCTCAGCCCCCCCCAAGTAAGAGAAACAGCGAGTTTCTAACAGGGAGATATTGGAGTCCTGCATGTCGACACGGACGTTTTCATGGCCATTCTGTTGCTACGGCAACATCGGCGGGCCGAGTTCCCGTCGGCTTCCTTTACAACGCAAAGGAAACCCCAATAATATTTCCTCTTAGTCTTAAAATACACATTATATCTTTTATTAAATCCCTTCAAGGTCTCGCTACATATATTACATAAGTCTGGGCAGGAATCTTATATATAATGTATCCACAAGATAATATATATACTCATGGGACAAAGGGCAGATACGGTATGATAATAATAATAATAACAGCTGATGCTCTCACAGGTAAGATGTCATTTAAACAGAAACATACCAACTGAAACAAAGACTCAGCTGTGGGGGTGGGAAAGGTTTCGTATTACAGCCGTCTTTCTTTAGTGAAGTAACGTGTCCGAACGCACTTCTCTCTGTCTTCAAATAGATCAAGAAATTAAAAGGCTGCAGCAGCTCCAGTCCAACGAGCTACATATTCCTCCAGCTTCTCACACAATAAGCAGCGGTCAACCGCTGACAGGTGTGTGTGTGTGTGTGTGTGTGTGTGCGTTCTGGCAGGCCACAGCTGATCTGAGGTCTGTTTCATGTCTCCCCGCGTTGAGATGCTGACGTGGATTCTGCAGAAAGGCGGCGGCTAACAGAAGGTTACAAGTTTAAAGATGGATCCTTCTCCTCCTTTCTTTCTCACTCTGAGAAAGTAGAGAATGAGGGGAATCCGGCAGTGAGGATGATGGAGGATCGCTGGCCCGGGTCCAAAGGACGAGGCTGCTTGTTTGCGACGCCCTCCCCACCCCCCTCGCCACCCTCGCCCCCTGATCATTGAATCAGACGGCGTCTCACTATTCAATTGCAGATCCCAGACCTGTTTACTCAGCGCCGCCTCCACTGCAACCGACCTCAACACTCCGCTGGCGTCTCTCCTTCTCTTCCTTCTGCAGCCGACTGGCCTCTCATTGCCGGCACACCCACACATGAGTGTGTGGGAGCAGACACAGACACACACACACACACACACACACAGGCTCTCTTTTGTATTCGTTATCTGTGTCTGTTTTTCGTCTCGCTGGTTTTTATTTTCGAATAACAACTTGTCTTCATTTTTAATCCCAGTAAAAAAAGCAGCGCCGGAGAAATACGTTATTCCCATTGTTCAACTTGTCACTAAATATTGATGAAAAGTCCAACGTCATGGCAACGGCGGAAATCCATTGTGATTCATATCGTATCTTATCTAACCGCTGACACTGCTGCTGTCGAGTCGCGGACCAAAGCTGTCTTTTGTCGGCCTTTTGTCCAAACAGTCGAGTGTTGAGTTTGTGCGTCGTCAGCTGAACTTCTTCCGAACTTGTTGTAATTTAAAAGGGAATTGGGTGGAAGTGAACCTGCTCCTCCGTTAAGTCAGCAAATCAAACGTTGTTTTGTAGCTTTTGTAGCCTGCTGACATTTGTTGTCCCAAACCACGATTCCCTTAAAGCTGGAAACAAACAGGTGAGCAAGCAACGGAATATTCTAGACTTTATAGACTTCATCCACGGCAAACCAAGCAGCTGCACCGACGGCTTCCACTCTGCGTCGTCTTCTCGTCCCTGCATGTCTGTTTGATACCTCCGACTTTAATTTCACACGATCAATGTTATCTTTCTTCTTCTCCTCCACCTTTGCTCTCCTGCATGCATCGCCGCCTCAAACAGCTTCCTATCCCCAGATACAAGAAGGTAAGTCGATAAGCTCGAATCCCAACCAGCAACACCCCTGATCGATACCCAGTGAAGCCCCGGTAGACCCCACCCCCCCCCCCCCCTCACGTCCCCCCCACCCCCCCGTGGTGTTCCGTCTCTTCTGGCTGTAAATGACTGCACGCTGTAAATAATTACTCGCTGAGACGAGGTCGACTCGTTTATCAGCAAATAACAAATAGTGAGGAGGAAGCGATGCAGTGATTGATTACCCCGCACCGAAAGGTCGACCAATTTACTGATTCATTAACAAGGGAAGTCGTCCCCCCCCACACACACACACTCATACAAGAAGCGTTGCCACGGCATGAGTCGTGCTGTTCTAGTAGTTATTTTTAATTAGTCGTGGTAATTCATAGTTTGGGGTAAAATCAATTTATTCAGCTTAAAGTGTCCGTTTGTCGCAGAAAGCCCTTCAACGATGTTCTGTTTAATTAATCCCTCGAAGCCACATTGAAAGTTAGATTTTGAGGCACAAATCAATATGAAAAAGATCAAGTAGAGAAATAAGAGCACTCACTAGTTTACTGAAATATGGATTTCATTCGTTGTCCCACTTTGTGTCCCTCTTTCTCAAGTCGTGACACAATAAGAATAAAACGTTAACCTCATTTCACTTTTAAATCTAAAAACAGTTTAGTCCACAAAATACAAATAAATCCCTAATTAGCCCACTTGCTAGTTTGAACACAACCAGTGACACGTTATCGATAACGATGCCGACATTGAGACTAACGATTCCCAGCGTGACCCCCCCCCCCCCCACACCCCCCACCGGAGCCTCTTGATCACCGGCGCTGACGTTCATTGGTGACGAGCGGGACCCATCTGCCGGCCCTGCGTAGCGGCCTCCTTCCATCGAGCCGCCTTGACCCCCCCCCCCCCCCCCCCCCTCTAATCCCAGGTGGCCCGCGAGGCCTTAACCCCTTCTTTAACACGACTGTGTGTCAGCTCCCTCTGGGTGAGATCAATGCCCCCGTCTCATCCCTCCTGTCCTCTGCTGGCCCCGGTGATTGATGCCCCCCCCCGGCCCCCTGTTAACGGGCCAGTCAGATATGGTAATGAAGACGTATGCCCCCGGCTGTGGGAAACGAGCACCTGTGTGGGACTCAGTGATGATAAAGAGAATGCTATGAAATACACTCGCAGTGCAAATATACGAAACTGCTGAAACCGTCCTCACCGGATATATATATTCTCGCGTAGCGTTCTGCAGCCAACTGCCCAATACATGAGTTTAATGTTCATTCTCAGCACCCCCAAACCCCCGTCTAGATACAATGCCTTGCGTCCACGCGCGCGTGACTTAAACCCTGTAACTTCATTTAACAAGGCAGGAGTGTGGTATTCAAAAATGAGCTGGAACGTTCTCTTCCTGCAGCACCCGAGAGAACAGTCGCTCCATCGCAATGTTTTCAGATCTACTCCGAGCTGGAGCCCCCTCCCCCCCCCCACAAAGAAGCTCATCATTTCCCAAACAAAAGGGAGCTGGACTTCCTATAAAAAGAAGTGTGAGATGGGAGGTGTGTGTGTACAGGCTGATGCATGTCGCACATCTGCCTCATTCACACCGGCCATTTTCCTCCAAACCTTGGTAATTATGATCAAGCGAGTATTCAACGCGGGCCTCCCCCCCCCCCCCCCCAGAAGCACAGCTCAGGTGTCCGTGTCCGACGTGGAGGAACATCACGAAGGGAAACAGCAGGGAGTGAGAATCAGCCGACGTGGAGTTGCCTGCCGAGCTACCATTTCTTTTTTTTTTTTTTTTGCAAAAGGGGAAAAACAAACAAGCGTCCGTAATTCAGATCCAACACGTCATGTAGAGCCGCATGCGGTCGGAGCGAGGAGGAAATAAGAGAGAAGATTGGGGAGGAAGGGTCACGGCGAGCGCCCAAATTGAGGCTCAAAGTGAATGTTGGCGCGTCGCATCAGACAACAGATTTCCTCCTAGCTGTTTTCACATCATCATTTCTCTAAGGCGGAAACGTTGAAGGGGGAACTTCCAGTTACTGATGTGTTGTGTTTACAATTTGCATGACACATTTATTCACATATCCATTGCAAAGGTACAAATATACAAAATCTCTGGTGTGATAAATCGAGAGAAACAGTTTATTTAAACTAGGGCTGTCAATAGATTAATTAACTAATTAATCGCACATTTTGAAATTCATTAATCTCGATTAATGGCGATTAATGAATGTTGTTGTTGTTGTTGTTACAATGTTGTTTATAATGAATGTTTGTTTTTCTTCTAAAGACTTAATCTTAAAAGTAATGAGTAATTAGTTTAGAAAGCGTGTATTTCAGACATTGTTGTTTAATTGTTAATGTTATTGTAAACACAAAACTACACACATTTGATCATCTCGGGGGCAGAATTCCACCTGGTGGAACATGTTGAACTAGCGACTCTCCCCGTTGTCCTCGTGCACTTTGCTCTCAACTCTCCATCATTTGACGTCAACAATCTCCCCACATTTAGCCAGAACGTTTTCAAACCACAGCCTTTAAGGGACACCATGTTGGTCCTCTGCAGACTGTGTGCCGCGCAGGGTAACGTTAGATGTTGAGATGGAAGTAGCAGCCTGCTTAGCGTAGCAGCTAACGTTAGCTTAACATAGCGTTGCTTTAAGGGGTTTGTTTGCTACTCACCCCCCTTCTGTTTGACACGCGGAGTAATTCCTCTGCACGGTTCTCTGCTGTGTGTCGCACCACTGTTTGTTTTACTTTCAATGCAAAAAGCTCTCTCCAATTTTGATGTAACTGACTGCAGCTTGCGGCCGTTTTGTTCCCGCAATCAACTTCCGGTTTCCTTGAGATAAACCGGAAGTAAGCGAACGTTAACTACGTTAAAATATTTTGTTGCATTAATCTAGGCCACATTAATCGCATAGATTAATGCATTAATCTGGACAGCTCTAATTTAAACCCCATAATGATGCAATGATTCCATCTTTAAATAAGAGTAAATTAATGAACAAGCTGTGACTCCTGTGTAAGACGCATTATACTGTACACAATAATCACAGTACAATATGAAGCGTGACAACCTTATCAAGTGAAGTGTATACTTGTCATTCTGACCAATGCAATTATTCTAAGAAACTTTCAAAGTCCTATTTCTGTTCTCCCTCTTCCACAGTTTTAGGATCCAAACGCTGCAGATAAGAGAAGAGACTTGATGAGAACGCTGATAAGCTCGTCTGCTTCAGCTAATTACTTTACACTGACAGCAATTAAGATCTGAGAGCAGCGAGGCCCTTTCCCACAAACCCGGCTCCAGCCAATCACTGGAGGCACACGGGGAACCTTCGCTTGTCTTCTTTTGGTAAAATAATTATTCTAATCAATCTATTACCGTAAGGTCTCCTAAGAAGGTTGATGCCGACGTATTCATGCAGATCACGGCAAACCTGGGCATTGTCGTGACGCATGTACGAGGGCGACACTGTGTGATTAGTCAATGTATATTTGGGTGGCGGTGAAAAATCAGATTGAAACGATAACCCATATTGTGCCGTAACAGAACATGACAGAAAGGAAGGACATGCGTCGTTCCATCGGAAAGCCGGTGGCACGAAGCTTCCTGCGTCTGTGACAAAAGCTAAACGACGTCCTAAAGAGCGACGGGAAGCTCCCCCTCATCGAGTTAGTGCTTCCTGTCGCTCTGTCAGCGCACTCCCTCCCGTCTACATCCCCCGGCATCTACGCGCTGATAAAACAAGCACGGCGTTTGGATGGCGAGAGAGTCGGCTGGAGACGCCGGCGGGGTGGCGGCTCATCGGACGAGTGTGTCCTTCCCCTGCCAGTTCTTCCTGCTGAGTGCCGAGCTCCTCCATTAAGCCGGATAATTGTGGGCGAGTGGACATCACATTTGTTTTGTTTTTTTTCCTTTCTGATCCATTAAAGAAAGAACCATAAAGACTGGGAACAATTAGACTAATGGAACTGGGATTGAGATAATTGGACCTCGCGGCTCATTTCGGAGATGTGGGGTGTTTATTATTTGTTAGATCCTTTCATTGTAAGAGGATGAAGTCGGGAGGTTTTATGTGTCATGTATTCTGCTCACTAACACGGAATCAGCGTTATTGTGTGTGTGTGCAGAGGATTCAAAGCCGCGAATGAAAACATTTGCCTCAGGAAGAAGAAAAACGAAAAGGAAAAACTCCTTCAATCTGCTAGATTTAAAAAAGGATTCAATAAAAAAATTAAACAGTGCTGCTTTTTTAACTGTTTTAATGGGACTATCGTCTCAGAGACAAAGGTCAAATGTGAATATTCACAGAAGAAGAAAAAAAGAACGTAAAAGCGAACGCAAATAACAAAGAATGAAGTTGAGGGAAACCGTCCAAACTTGAGTTCCTGACGTTTTTATTGGACGAAACACGGAAAATCCTCCTAGATTTCACCCACAAAAAGTCACAAAGAGCCACAAACCAACCAGGACTCAACGTGTCCACCAAGAAACCATCTGAGAAACCCTTTAAATGAGCGTTTTGAGGAACGGGCCCTTTCGTCTGTGCTGACGAGGACGTTACTTTTCTCCGTGAGCTTCTTGCTGCTCTTTCTGTCTCATTGTTTCCGCGCTTTCGTGTCCTTCACAGGGGCTGAAGCCGATGGACCACAACGGCCTCTCCGACCCGTACGTCAAGTTGCATCTGCTGCCCGGAGCCAGCAAGGTGAGATGTTCTTCACGTTGTACCAAAGCTCGTCATTGAAAGCCAGAGCCCCTCCACTGCTTTCCCAACCCAAGATGGAAATTAATCTTAAACGTCAATTTGCTTGTGTCTGCCGGGAGGCCTCGAGGTTGATTTAATCTTTTCATTAAAGTCCTCACATCGAATATAAATTGTGTGAATGAAAGCTGAAGCCGTGTGATTATCGTCTACCTGACTCACGACTTCCTTTCTTCACTTTCTCCCACCGCTTCAGTCGCATCTTAGTTTTCTCTTTTCATCCGAACTTTGTGATTGTTTCCTCTTCATCTTTGACTTTGGAACATTTAAAGTGTGTGTAGACCGATATGCGGTGAATGACTACGTTTCAAAGAGCTTTTGTCTAAAAAATATCATCACTTCGTCATTTTATCCCGTCAGACATTGGTGGCACATTTTCAGAATCAGAAGAGCCGGACGAAATACAGAGAACGGAACCCAGCAGATGGACACCACGGCACGATATCGCGATAATATCGATTAAAATTCCTGACAGCCTCTCAATTCTTGAGCATTGGCAGCGACCTTTGACCGAATCGGATCAGCTCGTCCTTTTAGTCGACACAGCGTTTTGTTACAAAGTTAACGAATCCCCCGAGGTACCTTCACGAGAACGGGACGGAGAAGCCAAACCTTTCACGTGTCCGACGCCAACGTGAGAGTTTACGCTCCCCACCCAGCAGAATGCCTTCATCTCACTGGAGTAACAACAATTGTTTCTGGAAAAACACCAGAACTCGCCGTTTGAGGAGTGGTTGCTTATTCTGGTTCTGGCGTCTGTCGGCTCCCTTGCAGGCAGATGGAGCCCGTCAGACGTCGGCGCTGCATATGCCCGGCACAAACAAAAAAACGCTGCGTGTTTATTTCATGCAACATGGATAAATGCATGTTTTCTTTCGTCCAGACCCCAATGGTGCCGCGTCGAGACAGAACTTGAGATTTAAAAATAGACTAATCAGTGAGAAGGGAAGCGACATTCAGGGTGCGATCGAAAAAAACAAAGGGCCTGACAACCGAAATTAGGCGGGAATGTAATAATTGTCGCACAACACATGGGCGAGGACCATAAAGCAAATCAACAGCGTGCCGGCTGTCGGCCTCGATTAGACGACTCCGCCCCCCACCCCCCTCTCCCCCAATCAGAAGAGAAGTCTGCCAACGGCCTCCGCACCCGCTGGCTTTGATCCAGAGATCTCAACCAGAAGACTGAAGGGATTCCTCACAGTCGCTCCCGCTTGTCGAACGTGTGAATTTTAGGACGTTTACGTGGAGAAAACGCCGCACGCACACAAACTCGGTGGCTTTTTAAGTAGATGAAACGTAACTATGACCAGTGGATCGCCGCTTTCTTCGCTGTCAAAAATAACTCGCCCCATTACCTCTTAATAATGAACGCGGTGATGAGAGCACACCGATGTACTACATGCTACACACGTGTAGTACGTCGCACATGTTCGCTCAGTATTCACTCCGTACTGCCTGAGAAACGAATGGCTACGTATGTTTTTAACAAGCTTTTAAGGCGCCTCGTATCCAAGGTGATGGAACCCAACAGATGCTTTGAAAGCAAGTTTCCCCTTCTGACTAAAATCAATTAACAACCGGATTTAACAAAAAGCCGGAGGCGCTTTGTGTTTCTAAATATTATAAGATATATGCATATATCTTATAATATTTAAGGATTCAGTTCTCGCTGGCACCAAACACTTATTTCCGCAAAGCCTAAGATGCACTTTGTCCGTCTTGCCCCCCCCCCCCCCGCCGCTCGCCATCTGTGGCAGCTACCAGCCCTCCACCTCGTCGTCCCTGGATACATCTTCTTGTGATGGATGTGGAGGAACTTTCCACACGCAGTTCATAAGCCGACTTAAATGTACTTTTTAAACCTTTCTGAATCTGACATTTCTTTTCTGCTCTTGGGAGAAAATCGCCGGTCGCCCCTTTAATTATTTGAAATTTTTTTCCCCCCCGCCCCCCCGCCCCCCCCATTAAGAAGGTTTCCCTTTTTTCCCCGGGGGGCCCAAAAAAACAAAGGGTTTTTTTGGTGCGGAGAAAACAAAACCCCCCGAGGACTTCGGGGTTTCTTGGGTTTTTTTTTGTTCTTCGAACCCTTTTGCTAATTTCCGCGGGGAACAAAAAAACCCCCCCCCCCCCCCCCCCCCCCCTCTTACCCACCCTCCCTCCCCCCTTTGACATTTCCCACAGCTTGCTCTCAAGGTAATCATTAGGCTCGGTCTAAGAGCCTCATTAGGAGCCCGTGAGGAGGTCATGAGTTCTGCTCGCACTCTAATCACAAGTGAAGTTTCACGCTCTGATGCGACGCCGGATCACCAGCTCGTCTCCTCTGAGACCACCGACACCCAAACGCCCGTAATTGTTCCAGATTAAACTGTCGATTACCGACGGGGATTAGATGCTGTATGGAATCGTGTTTCCACTGGACCGCGAGTACCGAAAGAAAAGACACTCAAATCGTAACAACTCAGTTGGTAGAAACACTCAGGGGAGTCTCACATTCTGCAGCTCATCAAACTTAATTAATTGCTTGATTCGAGTGTTTTGAAATTGCATTACTTTTTCTATAAGAAAAGCTGTTGAAGAAGACTAAGAAGGCTCAGCAGAGGTTGTTCTTCCTGAGGCAGCTGAAGAAACTCAACCTGCCAAAGACGATGATGGTCCACTTCTACACGGCCATCATGGAGTCCATCCTCTGCTCCTCCATCACCGTCTGGTACGCTGCAGCCACAGCCAAGGACAAGGGCAGGCTGCAGCGTGTCCTCCGCTCTGCAGAGAGGGTGATCGGCTGCAACCTGCCGTCCCTGCAGGACTTGTTCGCTTCCAGGTCTCTGAAGCGAGCTAAAAAGATGGTGGCCGACCCCTCCCACCCCGGACAAAAACTGTTTGTGCCCCTTCCATCTGGCAGGAGGCTGAGGTCCATCAGGACTAAGACCTCCCGCCACACCAACAGTTTCTCACCATCGGCAGTCGGGCTCATCGACAGAGCTCACTTTCACACACACTCACAGCAGAGTTGTGTAGAATATGGTATCTGTTCGCTGGTGCACTTTATTTTTGAAAAGTTTCTCACCGCAGGGTGGATGATGAAGACTTGGTGGATGATGAAGACTTGGCAGGAAGTGGAACCGCTTCATCATCATCAACCGATCGTTAGGGAGGAAGAAAGTAGTCAATTAAAAACAGACAATGAAGAAGCCATTTAAAAAGGAACTGAGCACTTCAAAGTAATTTTTAACTAAGTGACTGTGATGAAATGATGACTTCGTATAAAACAAAAGAAAGTCAAGGGCCTCCAGTCAGCGCCCCCCCCCCCCCCGCCCACGGCGGCGATAGCGCGTAATGCGTCAGCGTTTACCGGCCCGCTTGTCTCCTTTCTGAGGGAACGGCGCCGGCGAACACCAACGTGACAAAGAGCGCGCGAGCGCAAAGGCGCTGCGCGTTCTCCATTATCTGTTTGGCTCGTTAGCTCGCTCTCGTTAGCTCGCTCTCGTTAGCTCGCTAATTCCACTGTTTCCATGCAGACGTCGTTTAGGGGTAAAATTAGCAGAGCAGCCGGGTCTGCTCATTTTAAAACGGGCCGTAAAACGGACTGCACTTCATTTTTCATTTAACAAACCACTTCTCGTACCTCTTAGCTTTCTATTTATTTTATAGTCCTCATTGAAGACGTAGAATCGCCGGTCGAGGCCTCCAGGTGCTAATTGTCTTAGCAATTAGCACCTGGAGCTTTGACACCTGAGGGGTGGGCGCTCGTGGGGACGGGAGGAAAGGGGCGTGGGGGAGTAAATCCACGAAGATGTTTAATCCCGTGGAATTGCCGACGACTTGGGTTTGTCTTTCAGGCCAATAAACTAAGAACCAAGACCCTGCACAACACACTGAACCCCGTCTGGAGCGAGACGCTGACCTACTACGGCATCACCGACGAGGACATGGTCCGAAAGACTCTCAGGTAGGCCGAGCCGCATGGAAAAAAAAACAGGAGGGGGGGACCAATGCAAGGAAGGAGGGAAAATAAGTAAATTAAATGAGAGAAAAAGTTAGGAAGTTCATTTAAGGAATGGCGGGAAATAAGGACACGGGGGGAAATAAGAGGAAGTGAAGGGGAGGAAAGATAGGAAGTGAATTAAAGGAATGAAAGTGAAAGAAAGGGAGTTAAAATAGGGAGGGGGCAGGAAGAGGGTAAGTCAATGACGGGTGGGGAAGCAAAGGAAGGAGGGAAGAGGGGAAGGTAATTAAAAGAATGGAGGAGAATGAATGGGGGAAAAAAAAAACATGAAAGAAATGGGAAAGAAAAAGAAGGAAAAAACATGAACAAATCAGAGGGACGGAAATTTAAATAGAGAAGTGAAAGAACGGAAGAGATAAAACCTGCTTTTTGGTATATTGAAGCATTAGCTGCCTCAGGGAATCTCTCCGTGGCTCCAGAGATAAATCACTGACTTACAGCCTATTTCACCCAGAAATGACTTATTCATCCTGCGGATTCTTCTTCTCCACTTCGATCTGCGACGAACCCCTCACCCCCCCGTTTAAGGGCTGAGGAAACCCTTTTGTCTCTCTAATCTCCAAACAGCACATTGTGCACATTGTTGTGTGTCGGTTGTAGAAAAGACTAAAAAGCTGCTGCTCGTGATAAACATTATGCAACGCAAGTGTTCTTTGCTCCTTTATTTTTACCCACAGTGTTATCACTGTAGCAAGTAGGTTATTTAATCATATTTGGTAGCTACAGTACAGAACATATATCCCAATGAACCTACGTTTGAGTCTGCATTATTATTAATAATGTAACTATTAAACAATACAGTGAAAAGGTCGTTTTAAAGCAGCAGACTGCGATCGAAGGACAATATTATATAAGATAGAAAGACCTGGGGTGCAAAAAGATTCCGTGTTGATTTGAAATCTCATCAAATCAACATCGTCATCAAATCAACATCGTCAACCTGCGAGTCAGCATTTGATTGTGTGATTTCTAATTATTTCAAATGTCGTTATTAATTCTTGTATTGCTCGCTTTCAGAAAGCCACACAGCTGGGAAGTCATTGTTGAATCGCTGCAATTAACAGCCGCTCTCAACGACGCCTGGAAAATAGATAAATATATTACGCTCACTTCTGTTCTGCAGAGAAAACAGGAACTTCTCAAAGACGCCGATAAAACCTTCAACCATCTCCAAACAATACGGAGAAAAAGACCAGAGTTTGCCGTCTATCGAAGGCCGAGGAGAGAGATGATGGACGTCGGTTGTGAATGAATGATGAAATAGGTGTAGCTTTGAACTCGGCGCGGCCTTCGGGTTGGTTCGTCCGCCATCACGTGCGACGGATCGGGAACGCTGTCGTCTGTAAACAAACGCGGCAAAGAGACGGGAAGCGACGCGTCCGAGCAGCACTGATGAGTAAACAGGACCCGACACGTGTTCAAGTCTGAGCAGAAACATCATCATTGCTTCACCTGAAATGTCTCCTGACCACCTGCTCACTTCGGAGTATTTCAAGTCTTTTGATCCAAACAGGCCGAATGCTTTCTGAAAAGTGTAATTATCCCGGCGGCGGCTGTCATGCACATCGAGTCCCAGCGACGTCAAAGGAACTCGCTAACTGCCGGGTTGGTGGGGGGAGGGAGGGGGGGGGGGGGGCCGTGATGGAGGAGAAGACTGGTTTAATGGTTTCAAGGTGTAGCTCCGCCCCTCTCAGCAGCAAAAACTTTGACCCCTGAGCCTCTCTTCGTTTCATCCTCCTCCTCCACCTGGTCTAATCCTCCCACCTTCTCTCCTCCTACTCCTCCTCCCACCTGCTCTCCTCTTCCTCCTCCTCCTCCCACCTTCTCTCCTCCTACTCCTCCTCCTCCCACCTGCTCTCCCTCCTACTCCTCCTCCTCCACCTGCTCTCCTCCTCCTCCCCACCTTCTCTCCTCCTACTCTCCTCCTCCCACCTTCTCTCCTCCTACTCCTCCTCCTCCTCCACCTGCTCTCCTCCTACTCCTCCTCCCACCTGCTCTCCTACTCTCCTCCACCTTCTCTCCTCCTCCTCCCTCTCTCCTCCTCTCTCCTCCTACTCCTCCTCCCACCTCTCCTGCTCCTCCTCCTCCACCTTCTCTCCTCCTCCTCCTCCTCCCACCTGCTCTCCTCCTCCTCTTCCCACCTGCTCTCCTCCTCCTCCTCCTCCCACCTGCTCTCCTGTTCCTCCTCCTCCTCCCACCTTCTCTCCTCCTACTCCTCCTCCTCCCACCTTCTCTCCTACTCCTCTTCCTCCCACCTTCTCTCCTACTCCTCCTCCTCCCACCTGCTCTCCTCCTACTCCTCCTCCCACCTGCTCTCCTCTTCCTCCTCCTCCCACCTTCTCTCCTCCTACTCCTCCTCCTCCCACCTGCTCTCCTCCTACTCCTCCTCCCACCTGCTCTCCTCCTCCTCCTCCTCCTCCTCCCACCTTCTCTCCTCCTACTCCTCCTCCTCCCACCTTCTCTCCTCCTACTCCTCCTCCACCTGCTCTCCTCCTCCTCCCACCTGCTCTCCTCCTCCTCCTCCCACCTTCTCTCCTCCTACTCTTCCTCCTCCCACCTGCTCTCCTCCTCCTCCTCCCACCTTCTCTCCTCCTACTCCTCCTCCCACCTTCTCTCCTCCTCCTCCTCCTCCCACCTTCTCTCCTCCTACTCCTCCTCCCACCTTCTCTCCTCCTCCTCGTCCGTGGATGGGGGGTGTGCGACGAGGACAAGTTCCGTCACAACCATTTCATCGGGGAGACGCGGATCCCGCTCAAGAAGCTGAAGCCCAACCAAATCAAAAACTTCAACAACTGCCTGGAGAAACAACTGCCCGTAAGTCCGGACGCGTCGCCCGCTTGTGTTTCATGACAAAGTACCTCAAAGGCAGCGTTCGTGATGACAGACGGGCTTTTCTTTACAGAAACCGAATGAATGCGTACTTTGCGTTTCGATTCATTATGAATATTGAACCAATCAGGACATTTTTCGGTGTACAAAAATGAAAAGGGAAATTAATGTATTATGAAAAGACTTTTCTTTGAGGCATTTTGATGTTTTGGTTTTGCTTTGTATTTACTGGCCTCTTTATAACAATTGTATTCAAACCTAATTGTTTTTTTTAAATTGATACATTAGTTTCTTACTGCGTTATTGGCAATTTTTCTTAACTACCCAATTTGTGCAGGAACTATACCCGAGTCACTGTTTGTCATCGTCGGGGGGGTTGTTACAACGATAACAACCAGCAGGTATTGTGTTTCAGTGTCGTGTGGAGAAAATACACAAACGATGCTGTCGCCTTGATTTGATTCGCTCACCTTTCACAGCGGAGGGGGGGGGGGGGGGGGGCTCTCTTTGGAACAGACTCTCATTCCCCGAAAAACTTAACGGGGATTATTACAACCCGTCTGTCACAACGAGACCCCTCAAGAAAGCGCCGGTAGCCGAGCAGTCAGCAAGTTGGCGTGTAGCCCCCCTCCCCCACGTGACGTGCCTGTCAACAATTACACGCTGGTAATTGCACGGAGGACACGAGCACAAACAACGGCCTTTTCAAATGGGCTGGAAGAGAGAAAGGGACAGAGCGTGATTACAGAGACACAACTGCTGCTCCGCTCATATGCTCGGCCGTGTACGTGGGAGAGCGTGAAATAACATCTGAAAATACCAAACATGCTGGTGTGACGCCCTCCAGGTTGATTTAATCTGCATTTTAAATGTGTACGGTGGTTGTTATTTGTCATACAGTGACTACAGAGTGTGAAGTCGTTGGTACATTTCATGCCTTTGTGGCTCGATTAAGGCGCATCTGTAAGACTGTTGGTGCTGATGCATCACTCCAGTGTGCTTTCACAGCCTCCACCACGAGGAGCTCGCCCTGCGTCGCGTCGCCTGCAGACCTTCGCCGTGACTAAATGTGAAAACGATTTAGAAGATTGAAGGTGGACCTGCTTGGAGTGGAAGCTTTCCTACAGCTATTAGCCGCGGAGATTGGATGGGCCTGAGCTGCTCCTAATCCTTCTGAGGCAGCGCGACCGTGGAGGAGTTCTGATGCATCTGGTACCTCAGACCTTCGCCACATGCTGCAGGGACCTTTAGCTGTGGAGCAGATGTTGGTGTCAAACTCCACAGCAGGGTTTTTTTTTTCATTCTGCTATTAAACGCCTTACCTCAGCAACTGAGAGCATAAAGCAAAGTTTAGCAATTTTCCCATGGAAAATTCTTCAAAGCAAAGTGAAGCCACGACGGATGCCGGTGAGAGAGAGAAAGAGGGGAAAACAGGGGGGAAGGCTAGACGCCGCTCGCTCTTGAAGTAGCAGATAAGCAGTTCTGTTCTGGATGCCGTGCCGAGGAGAATAGAGCAGAGGCAATTTAATCATCTCATCCAGCAGCCAGCAGCGGCTGTCGTAAGCCTCTTTCCCGCCGGACGAGCGCGGACTAACACCCGCTACCGTCCGGGTGTGATGACGACCAGCTCCGGGAACACAGCGACATGGTCGTGTCCTCGTTGAGTTTGCGTGAATACATTCATCTCCGTCTATATTCTTGACATGAATACTTTCACGGAGAAAAAAAACAGATCCATTCATTCTGCCCCAACCTTTCACAATAAAGGCCCTTCACCATATTCGTCACAATCGCGGTATCGAGTTTTTAAATAAAGAAGAGACCACCGTTTTCACGGTTTAACTCTGCTTTAGTTGTGTGACGTCTACTTTCAAACAACATAGGGGGGAGAAAAAAACAGAAAGGGCAGAACAAATGTACTTTTGTCTTGCACGCTCTTATTTTGGAGGGAAAAGGGTATAAACGGTGGGTTTTGCCCAACGGGGGAGCATTTTAAATGTTCAGCCAGTGAGCCTGGTGGAATGCACCAGTCACGAGATGAAATGTAGTTTAAGAAGATAAACGATTAGATTCCACCAGCTGCATACCATTGTAAATCGATTGATCTTCTATCTGAACCTTTGGAATTTATAGTGCTGTTTAAGTTCCTACATCAAAAGTTAAGGCGCCCACTGAATGAGCAGAGAAACCCTCGGGGCGCACACAGAAAGCGCTTTCGAAGACAGAGGAGCTGCTCCTGTGTTTCGGTAGTCTCGAGGTAAACCGGCCAGATGTGTCCCCCCCGTTCCTCCCCCCATGGATGAACCCCGAACCCCGTGGGGGGCACCTGCGGAGAGTAGGGGGCTTGGGTCTTGGAGCGGTCTCTGCTGTGCGTTTATTTGCAGGAGAGATGGACCGAGAACGTGAAGCTCTGCTTGTTTGAGTCTATTCTTTCTTTCTTTGTCTCATAACAAAGTGTTCAAACCAGAGACGTCATTTGGGCCAATTGGTGCGAGAGCACTTGGATTTCTGCTCAATTCCTTTTTGAAAGAAAAACTTGAGATTCAAAACCACGTTTTTGTGTATTTAAAAAAAAAGGTAAAAATATCAAATCAAAACACTGTACATTTTCATTTCGTAGGGCAGAAACCAGGAGCATTATACTTCATATTTTTGTATTTTTAAAGCAATATTCTTTCAGTAAAAAAGAAATCCTAAAGCTTTTGAGCAGCAGGTTCTCCAATTAGATCGTACTCCGTCTTCTATCGGCGCTGTTTAATTACAGGTTTCCACCTCAAACTGTGTATTAGGAAATTGCCGTCTCAGTCAAACAGGAAAAGTCCCCTTCGCCCGGGGTCGCCGCCTGACCTTTCCCCCTGGTGATATGGTGCGTTTCCCTGGTGACCCCTCGGGGTCTGAGTAATACCTGGAACCCTCGGCATATTTGGCTTGGACCTCGCAGGATACAAATAAGCAGAGAGCGATGTTCATCTCGCTCATCATTCAGCTCTGCAGCGACGTTCATTTAGAAGGATGTTTCGGACAGTCACGTCGGAGGTGTCCGGTATCCTGTGCGTTAAATCCAATTAAAGGACATCCTCCAGGCGATCTTAATCGAGTTTCCCCCCCAAGGCAAGGGTACAATTAGCTGGAAAATCCTAAGCAAACACGACTGCACAAGAGTGTGTTTGTTCATGTAAGTTGATTTCATGTTTGAGCGGATTGATGGGAAGAGGAAAAGGAAGGAAACGGGACTGTGGAACAATGGCCCCCCCCCCAACACCCCAGGTAGGACCGAGGCACGCAGGCTTCAAGGTTGTTCTTTGTCTCGCGCAATGCTAAGTGTGTTCCTGGTTTTGTGTCTCGTTCTTTTGCGTCTCTTTCTGGTGTTTTTGTTTGGTAATTGATTTGCTCTCCTTGAGGTTCTCCTTGGTTCCTTTGAGGGGCATTTTGTACGTAAAGGGTTGCTAACACCGGAGCCTGAGGCCGGCGGGTCCGTCGCGCGGACGGAGAGCAGACGGTCGATGACGAGCGGAGGCGCAGTACTCGATATCGCGTGGTCCGTTTTAAAATGCGTCTGCTCGTCGGTACGAGTTGAGTGGCGAAGGTCAACTGATGATCCGTGAGCGTGAAATAGAAAAGAAGACGTCAGCGCTTTTTTTGGTTCTTCCACAGACCTGCAGAACGTCTCGTTAGAAACCGCGTTTCACGTAGAGCGAGTCAGTCCAAGACGGTTTTCCTTCCTCGTTTCATTATTCTTTTACGGTTTCTAATGTGACGGCCGTCCGTGCTTGAAGCAAAGACCTCTCCTTTAAAGGTTTTTTACTTTTTTATAGCTGCCCGTTCAGACAGAATTATTCTAGCATGTAACATTATTTGGGGTTTTCAATATTAGAAAAGTAAATTCCATTTCATGGTTTTAAAAGGTTTCTACAAAACCTCTTTGTAGCTTCCAACCGGAGGTTTCTTTAGACGGCGATTCCCTCCTGCGACTGAATCGACAACAAAGGAGCAGTGGGAGTGAAGCGAGATGATAAAATGTTCCGCCGGACAGCTAAACAATAAACAGAAAGTCACTTGAAAGCATCGTGAAGCCGAGGGGAGCTTCATATTATTGCTGGAGGAAAGGGCGGGGGGGGGCACTCTTTCAACTTGCAGCCTTTAGCCGTTTCTATGAAATGCAGATTTTGCACATTTGTTAATGTGTTCCGTCGCAGCTCAAAGAACACGATGAAGTGGGCACTTCTTGGACTTTCTTGAAGTCACGTTAAGACGTAAAGTATCTGTGTGTCTCTTCGCTCTGACTGTCATGCTTTTGGTCTCAGAAATTGGTCATCAAGCCAATTTCATTCATATCAACCAAAATCCCAAAGTCGCCTCGGGGGGCTTCACAATCAGGGCGGCGTACGACGCGCTGGGGTCCCGAGAGCAAAAAAAACTAACGCATATCAATTCGAAATGGCACAAACCAAATTGAAAGAACTCACAGTCCCATTTCGCACGTTCTTCCCGCCGGCCCAGGCGCTCTCAAGTAGCCGTCGGCAAGCGTGAAGTCGTTAAGCGCGCGTGCATTTTCCCCCCCGCCGATGTGAACCGTCTTCCACCACGTATGTGGCACAGAACGAATGCTGGTGTAAAGGAAAAGCGCCGTGCACATTCACGCAATCAGCAGCGGTGGGACTTTCTCTGGCAAATTGCACTGCGAGTCAGTGGGCACGGCAGTGAAAAACAAAAACAAATGGTAAACAGCTCTTTAGGGGCCACGACAAAGTCACGCGCTCGTGTATTTCGGGGCCAGAAGCAGTGAAAGAATGTGAAAACAGACTGAACCTGACGGATCAGAGGGTCGGTCCCCTCTTTGAACGTTCTGCTCGTCGGAGGGAAGGCCGGGTGTGCGCCTCGTCCCCACAGAACACGCCAAATTAATTTTAATGAGGCTATTAACTTACAGCGGGAGGCGACATCAATCGGCCAATCAGTGCACGGCTGATTTTCCAGGACGCGCGACTGTCGAGAAGTCGCTGAAGACGTTTCATTGCAGTCGACTTACTGCTCGCAAAATCCTTCATGTTGCAAAAGTTAACGGTCGGGATCTAAAGGAACAGTCTTGCGGCACGCCAAAAACTAAAACGTTGTCCTCCCCTCCCCCCCGCAGGTCAACAAGACAGAGGACAAGTCCCTGGAGGAACGAGGGCGCATCATGATTTCCCTCAAGTACAACACCCTGAAGTCCTGCCTGGTGGTGGGCATCATACGCTGCGCCCACCTCGCCGCCATGGACGCCAACGGCTTCTCCGACCCCTACGTCAAGACGTCAGTACCCGGGCGCGGCTTTTCACCCCTAAATTCACAACTATTCAGGTTCCTGCCACTTGATTCGATAGTCAAACACCTGACCCACCAACGGATTCGAGTTTGTCTTCTCAAGAGTTTGGTTCGGTATCCGCAAGCGTTTCATTTTCATTTCCCCCAAAAAAACGGTGTCCAAGGAAAATGAATAGAATGACAATCTAGCCTTTGGCTCGCGCCAGAGGAAAGAGTGAGGAGGTCAATAATACCATTAAGAAGCGGGCCGCCGGGCTCCATGAATACTGATATCATATTCCACAGCAAATTGGCTTTTTAGTTTCCGAGATAACTGTCAAAGTGTCAAACCGCCTTCGCCATCCTTGAGCTGTGGAAATCTCAATCCGTTACGCCAGAAAGAAACAGAGCTGAAGCGGATCAGCCGGCATGTTTCGGCGGAGAAGGCGGCTTCCTGGTGATCGTGATCAACCGAGAGGAGAGCCCCGTTTATCACGCCTCAACATTCCCGCCAAGTCTTTCATCTGCCTGACAAATGAAAGTGCAATTAGTTGCACGACTCCGCCGCGCACACCTCGGGGACAAAGGCGCGACTCGTATCGCGGCAACAGTTTGCGTGCTGAGAACGTCTCCCTGCAGCTTGAAGGACGCGCGCGGGTGAGAGGGAATGAAAGGAAGCGTAGACTCTTCTGTTCCATAGTGTTGTACACTTTGAGCGCAGGTAGCGTGCAGACATCACTTGGCTCCTCCGCACCAAACAAAGATGTCTTCAAATGTTCGGTTACAGCGGCTGAGGGAAAGAAAGCATTTTAGAAATCTGCAACCTCGTACCACATCAAACTACTGATGCCAACACGATGAGGGTAAAGTAAAAAAGGACATGGCTTTACACCGACGGTCCCTCGTGTAGAAACAATGCTATCTGGAGACCTCTGTCCAACACGCAGCGCGTCAGACACAAAACGTACAACATGCCGTGTGAATCATCGCCGAGGGCAGAACGGGAGCGAAAAGGTCCGACCCTCCACACGCGACAAACCCATCCGCACTAACGATGTGTTTTCACCCGACGGAAACGCCGCCGCCGACGCCTCCGCAATTCAATCAACCTTTAGCTTGATTGCATTTTTCACGACGTGTTCGCTGGGTTCCTGCAACTGAAGCCCTGAACCGACTGCTGCCGGCAGGAAGGTTGTTTCGTGCAGCTTTGAGTTTATGTATTCGTTTGCATTAAGCTTTTAACTGAAAATTGTTCTTTTTAATCCGTGCGTTATTAATATAAAGAATAATTGTGACACCAAATCCTTCCGTGTGAGAACATTTGCATAGCCACATGAAAGAAATGAAGCACATTTCTCGCGTGACAAATGTAATTATATGAGAGAGGACTAAATGAGAAGGCCGTCATCCTCATGACAACCTCTCCATTGGAGGTGAGATCATTAACTCTTCCACCGCCTTGTGCATCAGCAGCAAACCTCCCAAATCCTGCAAAGAAGGCGGCGAGCCGCAGCCAATCAGAGGCTGAGCCTTTGCAGAAGAACGGCCCAATGCGATCGCACAGACTTTCAGGCGCGCCGTCAAATCCTCGAGGCTTTTAGGACATTTTGAACCCTTTATGAACCTTTTCCCGCAAGTCCTTATTTCTGCAGACTGTGCCTGAGGGAATTACCCACAATTCAGTGCAAGCATAGAGATGTGAAAAAGTTAAAAAGTTAAACAAACATGATGGCACGCGTGTGTTATTAAACACACTCAGAAACAGTGACGATTAAAGATGGGACCTAAAAACACACGAAAGCAGCAGAATGGAGCAGAGATTATTTGAGACGAATTAATTCATCCAATATTTCCTGAATTAATTATTTTAAACAACCTCACATCCCGTGTGGAAATTCTCCAATATAGGGGGAGGAAAAAAGTAAATGCCCGCCGTCGTGCAAAGTGTTTTTTTGGCGTTGTCACGGTAACGTGATACGCCGCAGTGTGTTGACTCGCCAGCTGACGACAGCGAGTCCCCGAGGGGTCAAAGGCCGCCTGCTTCTGGATCAAACCATCCGGCACATTTACAGGTCTCAGCTCATATTGTACATTTAAACAAAACATTTCAGGACACTAATAGAAAACGTAATTGTCTTCATGTCAGAGACCAACTCTTAAGGTTTGTGATGAGACTAAACGTCTCTGTCGAGGTCGTTTTCTCCAAATTATTTTTTTCTCACTCTTTCTGATCCAGAAATATCTACTTTAAAAGCTTTTATATGTACAAACCAATGATTACAGTTTCATTCCATCGTTCAGAGCCTAATTTATACAATTCTATAACTATATATATATATAGTTATATATAAAACCTGCCATAAATGACTCAGTATTCTCATTTATATCTTAAATTCTCTCACTGAAAATCAGAGCAAATATTTTTAACTGATTTAAATCATTTAGATAAAAACATCATCAGAGAAAACAAAAGCCATAGATCCGATGACATCCACGAAGTACTGACTGATTGAGTGCGGCGGCGTGATGGATGTGGGCGGTACCACAGCACCCTCTGCAGGACGGAAACCCCTCAAGCTCTGAAACGCCCCACCGGGATTCGGCGGGCGCAGCTTCCAGGTGTTGATCCGTTTCCTCTGCCGCAGGTACCTGAAGCCCGACGAGAACAAGAAGTCAAAGCACAAGACGGCCGTGAAGAAGAAGACGCTCAACCCGGAGTTCAACGAGGTACCGACCCCCCCCCCCCCCCCACCACCCCGCTGAGACCAGTTCTCTTTTTATCGCTGCTTGTATGTGCCGGGTTTATGGTTAACATGCGTGTGGTTCACGTGTCCTCTGGCCACATCAGTTCTTCTATTTGAGCCGTTGTCTTAAATCCTCCGACGGCGAGACGGCGGCCCAGCGGCCTCGTGGACGTGTTTAAAAACAGCGATACGAGACGTCTTTGTTTCAATCCAAATCTGTATTATTTGTTGAATTCTTAAACAAGAGATTTATTCATTCGTATTTCATCTCGTAGAGAAAAACCGAGTCGCTCGTTGAAAAAAAGAGAGAATTATCTCATTGGGTTTTTGGCTAACGCGTCGATTCGGCCGTCGCCATCTTGTATTTTTGCAACCAGTGAACATAAAATGGAGTATACAGCCCTGTCAATCGCAGTAAGCCCCGCCCTGAAGGGCTTATGGTCCACTTGATTGGACCATCACTTACTAAATGGACATCGCGCTGTGTGGAAGAAGACTTTGGATGTAAATACCGTACCGACTTCAGACACAAAGGCCCCGAGGACCCGGACTGGCGGTCGGGGCCCCGAGGCGCGCGGTGCCACGGGTTCAGCCCGTCCCCGAAGTACCCGGCCAAACACTCGGCGAGGCCAGCGGCTTGACATTTTCCTCTGACATTCTTTGCGTGCGTATCCCTCCATCACCTCTTGGCCTTTCTGTCGGGGGGAGGCGGGGGGGTCGGGTGGGGGGGGCACCGGCGTCAAAGCATTGATTTCCACTAAAGCGGAGCCACGGCCCTGATTGCACTGCAGATATAAATGCTGAATGAATTCCCTTCCTTCACATGGTGCAAATTGATATCAGCAAACGCTTGTTGGTTTCATCGCTGGGGGACTATTGATTACGCCGCCGATGTCGATGAGCGATACCAATCTCCTTTAATTAGACGCGGTACAGAGGCTTTATTTTACTAATCTAACGAGACAAATGGGTTTTTCTAGAAAAACAAAATATCATGATTAATTAGAAATTTGTGTAAAATTACATAAAATGTTTGTTCAAATAAGAGCAGCCCAGTATTTTACAGTGTTTAAGGAGGTCTCTCGTGTGCATGCTGCTGTGTTCTACGTTTCCTTCCCGTCCTTCGCTCACGTCTTTGATGGGGAAGAGTTGGTAACTTGATTTATATACAAAAATATATTCATCCATCCGTCTTTCTGCAGGAGTTCTGTTACGACATTAAATATGCTGACCTCACCAAGAAGACCTTGGAGGTGACCGTGTGGGACTACGACATCGGGAAGTCCAACGACTTCATTGGTAAGCAGAGGCCCACCCCACTGACACGACTCGAGCTCATTCTGAAGTCAGCAGAAGGATGAGAAAGGCCTCATAGTGTCGCCCCCTGATGGACATTAGACAGAATGCAGCTTCGAGCTCCCACTTTTATTCATTCAGCTTCACGGGAACCAGACTTCCAACATGGAGCCGCAGTAAAAACCCTTTAGTCCAAAAGCTTTTGCTTCGAACTACGTGATTTGTATGCACTTATTGTGAGTGTATCTGTAAAAAGCACGTTTCAGAGTGACAGTGCAAGTGCTCTGAGACGCTAAACGCAAGGCCAGCCGTAATAGCCTGAAGTGGACTTCACAATATTTCACTTTAGGCCGAGAAGGATTCCATCAGCAGCACAGCAACAAGTTTGAGCCTATTGATCGCTAATAGATTGTGTCCCATTACAGAAAACACATTTAATTCAGCCGTTACTATGGTGATGTTATAATGTGACACATGCGTGTGCATCTGCTGATCTCCATGTGCCTTCTTGCAGGAGGAGTATCTCTGGGCATCAATGCAAACGGGGAGAGGCTCAAACACTGGTTTGACTGCCTTAAAAACAAGGACAAGAAAATTGAGCGCTGGCACACATTGACCAATGAATTACCAGGTTCATTAAATGACTAAAGACCCCCAACCCCCCCCCACTCCTTCCACCTCTACCAGATAGGACTTCCTGCCTACGTTGTCCCCGCCCGTCCTCTTCTCTGGATTCCACACAGCGACCTGCGACACCTCTTTATTTCCTCTGAACAGAGAGATGCTCAGCTTTGTGTTCTCATGTACCATTGGGGTTTCATTCGTGATCAACAGAAATTTGAAATTCAACGAACAAAATGAATCAAGGGAATCGGGGTTCTCAGTTTATACCCTCCTATAAATCTCAATTTGATCAGTGCAGAACAACAAAAAGAGGCACAGTTGCTTCCCATTCGATGAGATCTTTTAACAGCAGCTAAACGAACCACCAATAATTGACCAACCGCTCAAACAGCACAAACAAAGAGTGGAGAATCCAACAAGGATGTAGCAGCATTTTATACTGTTGGGATTATGCGTTATGTTTAGTGGAATAATTCTCATTTCAAAGATGTTGTTGTACTTTAATATGATTGTAAAGCTGTCGTGTAACGAAGGTTCTCCTGCCCCTCCACCCCGCTCTCCCCCCCCCATCCACGCAAAGTGAATCTGACCAGCGGCCGACTACATGCAGTTAGAGATACGGAGCATCCGCCCATCCTGGTGACAACAATGCCATTCGTAGTCAAGCCCTCAGTACGCTTCAAACAGACCTCCTCGTGCAACGTGACCGAGGCGTCCGTCTGAAAAGCCAACTCGACTTTCAGTAAATGGCAACATGCGACGTGTTGGGTCGCGCTTCGGGTGTCGCAGCGCGACGCTCGTCCGTCGAGAGCAAAGAAAGTAGTAAAGACTTTAAAGATTACACATTGACCTTTCCTGAGGACAACTATTGTTATTTCTCTCAATGAAATGATTCCATAACTTTTGTGCCTAAACCAAGCCGAACCTTAACCAAACGGGTCTGAATGCCCACCGTCCCCCAACGGCTCTCGTCTTCTGTAAAAACCGTCTCTGCTGGTGGGTTTTTTTCATCCTATTACAGTCAGTCTGGCTTTCAGACCGAAGCACTCAGCAAGCTGCTGCTGTGGGAGAGGGATGGTTGATGAGATCACAGGTTTACTGCACGACAATCACGAGGCAAACAGATGAAATACGACCCGGACCATTGACTGTATGAAAGACATGGAGTTGATCCTGAGGGGGGCAAATATTGGTTTGGGAACTGCGGTTTTAAAAGAGTTCAGCATTTTGACAGTGGCCATATTGGTGTTTTTGCAGCCAGTCAACTAAAGTGACCATACTTGGGGTCGACGTGGCGCAGAGGGTGTGCCGGGAACCGCAAGGTTGGCTCCATGTCCCATGTCAAAGTGTCCCTGAGCAAGACACCTAACCCCTAATTGCTCCCTGGGCAAAAATGTAAAACGCCATGGGTAAAAAATGCAACGTAAGTTGCTTTGGATAAAGATGTCAGTAGAGTAATTTCCCCATAGACTTCAATGTGACCAGAGGAGTCGCCCCCTGGTGGACATTAGAGAGAATGCAGCTTTAGGGCCCTTCCACGCCTCATTTTTCAGAATTGTTGCCTCCTGGGTCTAAGGTGTTCCTGTTGGATGACCATGCAAATGATTTTGGCGACATCTCGCTGCCTAGAAAGCCTACAGTGGGACTTATTGTGGGGGGGGGGTCTCAGCCACACCCTGTTACACCCGGAGCACCTCGTTTGAAGTATACTGAGGACTTAAGTGCTGTTCCTGGGAAGCTGCGTCGTAAAAAGTACCACAACGGTACCAACGTCACCAAACAACAATAAAATCTCATTCTTACCGGTCATGGGGAAACAGTTAAAAAAGTTCTGCTTAGAGGATTTTAGAGGTACCTGTGTACCTGGAACTAAAAAAAATCCACTACAGCACCACTTACTTTACTGATTCTTCAATGCAACCTGCCTGGTCGTGGGCTAATCCAGATGTCAGGGCTCCACGAGCGGTTCGTCCATTCAGTCGTCCCAAATTCTAACTCAGTGGTACGATGGCTGGGAGCGCTGAATGGGGCCTTTTAAGGTGGGCACACAGTGTCTGCCTGCAGTTTGGCAACGACAGTACTGCAACAGCTTGTCAGGCTATGCAAGGTGATGAACCGACCTGAAAGAAGTGACTTTTCACGTCGATGTGTTTGGAAAAAGGTCCAGTGGGAGTCCACGCGATCAGTTTCAATTCCCCCGTTTAAAGCCCATTTACGCGTCGCTTCCGTTCGGGACGTCAGTGGTAAAAAGGGCCGCGGTTCAGACCGTATGTTCAATAAGTGCAATAAGCGAATGATGTAATAGCTGCACTGAACCGGCGATCGGGTTGGAATTTATTGCACCCGATTGATCAAGATGATTTAGGATGATTAGAGGAGAGCAGCTGGATTCAACATCAAGTCCAGCAGACGAAACAAATACAAAACTTTTAAAAAAAGAAACGCATGATTGGGCTCTATGGTGTGTGTGAGTATGTGTGCATGTGTGTGTGTGTGTGTGTGTGTGTGCGTGTGTGTGTGTGTGTGTGTGTGTGTGTGTGTGTGTGTGTGTGTGTGTGTGTGTGAGCTTATTGTTTACACTGAAAAGCGAGTATCCACAAAATGTAAAAAAAAAAAAAGAAAAACTTGCTGGCAGCATTTTCTCCTGTAATGTGGCTGAAAATGCTCATCAAAAAGGGCAGAATTTCAACAACGGAAAGTTTACGTGAACCATTACAAGAAAAACAGATCATCTACAGCATGTATTGTTTACAGGAGCCCGTTGTTGCTCACAGCTTTCTGCTGAAGTCACTAAGATTGTCCAGTCGTGCAATGCAAGCTCGGGCGAGAAGGACAAGAAGTTTTATTATACTATCCGTGTGCGTATATTGTTACTATGATGTTGAGGTACTTTATTTTTATGTAAGCAGATCCACTATAAATGTATCAAACAGAATGTACATGTTAAACCCCGTCTGTTCCACGGTAAATCCTCTGAGAATGTGCAGCTTAGTGCTCCGTGTTGTGGATATCGTTCACGTGTCAAACCTCGAGCATCTCGGAACGCACACCCACACACACACACACACACACACACATCTGGCAGCAGAGACGGATGACGTCGCGGCCCTGGAGCAGAAACCAATAGAACCATTTTACTTTAAATTCTTTATGTTCCTCCTTTTCGTCGTTTTTTTGTTTTTTTTACATTTTATGTTGAGGTTGTGAACCTTTAGTGAAGCCCAGAAAAAACCTCGCAGGAGTGAAACAAGTCAAATGAAAGGAGTGGCGCTGCCCTCGTGGACCAGCAGGCCGGGGGCTGCAGGCCGTGTACTTCGGCTTCCATGAGCTCGATGACCTTTTTTTCTCTCTGCATGCCCCCCCCCCCCCCCCCCACGCACGCGCCCTCTTGTAAAAGTCCCGCCGTGCACTGACTGGCAACACGCTGCGCTCAGGATTCACGTCAGGCTGGCAGCTTTTCGCGGTGACCCGGGGACCCGTCGGCGGTCGGGGGGGGGGGTCTTTAGGGGGCCGAGTAGATCGCCGTCAGTGGGGCCCTGGTAGACCCTCTCGCCCGAGCGGGTGGAGAGCCAGGAACAGCCCTGGTGGTCTTTTATCATCCCGCCCCCTCTCAATCTACGTCCTGCTCCACCCTGAAGAAGAATCCGGCCTTCAGAACCCGGAGGAACGAGACCTTGCTTCTCCGTTCCCTCTAAGCGTTAACCGCCTCTTCAGCCACACCGACCGGCTCTGAAACCCTGACCCGGACAGGCCCGGCGACGCCGCCCTCCCTCCCCGACCAATGTGTAACGAACCGACGTGTGATCTCCATTTTGTAATCTGTCTGCCTTTGTATGCAAGCTCAATATTATGAAGAAGAAAAAAACTAAATTGCATGCGTACGTTCTTGGTTTTGTCATAACATGACTTTGCCTAATGTTTGATACTGTTTTCTGTATTAAAAAAAGACTAAATACACGCGTGTGTACCTTTTGAACACTGTTTGGCTGCTCGATCCGCCATCTGGAAGCGGGCGCTTGTTTGAGTTATTCGGGTTTGTAGGATTGAGGACTATGGACACAACGTCCATCGTTATACTTTAGGGAATTGGCATGTTAACATGTACAACGGGGGGGACTTCACTGTATCCGCGTCTCGATGGTGGAAAAGGAAAAGTGGATCTTCAGTAAACTACATAAACGTTTCAGTGCTGTGATTCCTACTGAGGTTCCTTTTTCAGAAAAGACGGGTCATTTTTCAAGTGGAATTCCCCTTTGAAACAAGACCATTCAATTTTTGCCGGATTAATCTTCCGGAAAACCATCAAGCTGCCCGACTGTGACACAAAGAGAACTCTATTAGCGGCGTGAGCGCCGGCTCCTTTGTCCATTCCTCCCATTTCAGCCCGAACGAGTGTGAACTCTGATGTCCTCCTGCCCAAAATGATCCGTAACACAGAGCGAGAACAGCAATTAGCTCGGTTCAACGTCAGCACAATGCGGTTAAAACTCCACAAATCAACAGTCGTATTTGAACAATTACAGTCAAACTTCCAGGGATTTAATTCATTCACTCGGTGAACTGAAATGAAATGGCCTGTAATTCCTTTTGCATTAAACCGTTGCGCAGCTGAGATACAAATAAAACTGAAGGTCGTAAAATACAAATCAATTAGAAAACAAGGAAATGACGGTTGAGGTGAATTAAGGAGCAGTAGACTCAGTTTGTGGACAGATAAAGATGAAGTCTTATTATGCAGGTTTGTTCCTCAGGAAGAGTTCAGAGCTCAAAGGAAACTTTAATTCAACTCCAAATGAAGAGAAAGTTGCTGTGTGTGTTTATAGGCAACTAGCTTCCCCCCCCCCGGTGCCTAAAGTATCCATGAAAAACAATTAACTTATAACTGTACTTACTTAGTGATTATGTTGACTTTTTCTCTGGTGTACGACAACAGAATGAGAGAAACAAGAAAGAAGCTTCTTCGTTACCAAATAACTTTTAACGTTACAAAGAGCCACGGCGCAGGATGTCCCGTTTACTTCCCTGCCCCAAGACTCGTTTTTATATTTAACTTGTGATTTATGCCTTTGAGCACAACAGAAATGAGGGAATGCATCCAACAAATGCATGAAATGGTGAAATGATGAAATGGTGAGTGGCTCCTCTGCTGGACAAAAGAGGAAAGTGAAGCCTGTTGAGACCGAAACAACAATATGCAAGTGACAAAAAAAAAAAACTCCTGCGACGGAGTGAGCGCGTGGAAGGCCGACATCTGCTCGCATCGTGAGGCTGTCAGCTCTGTAAAGCAAAGCAAAAACTCTCTCCCCCTAATCGACTGAATCCTCCTGTAAACACGCTCGACCACTCAAAGAATGGACCACAACGAGAGTCCATCGACTCGTTCAGTGGATTTAGATCCAAACACAGTGGCCGCTGATAAATAGTTACGTAACCCGTCGGTTTGGGTAACAGGCTTTGGTTATTTTGTGCAAAGTCCATCCATCCGAGGAGAGAGGCTGTTTACACAGATCACAGCTGGGTGATGGAGGGGGGGGGGGGGGTACCTGTAAGACGGGGGCTGGTTGTTCTCAGGATTTCATCTGGGTCACGGGGAAAAAATTACAGCTTACCCCTGTGTGTGTGTGTGTGTGTGTGTGTGTGTGTGTGTGTGTGTGTGTGTGTGTGTGTGTGTGTGTGTGTGTGTGTGTGTGTGTGTGTGTGTGTGTGTGTGAGAAGCTCTGGTGTCTTCTCCGTGACACCGAGCAAGCGGCACAAACTCATCCAGTAAAAAAGCTGCTGTTGAAAATATTGCGGAGCCACAAAATGAAATGCATCAATCAATTCATCAATCACGAGACCGGAATGGCTCTGGTGGTCGTGGAGGCCGAAGGCGACGTGCAGCACCTGGTGGAGATGTTGATGATTCAGTCTCCCGTGTGGACAGAACAAGGCAACAGAGGCTGCACGTAAATATACAACACGTGCTTCCATTAAGGCCACCGATGTGTCAACTTGTTTCTTATACTTTTGAAAGAAAGAAAGATCCAGCAGAAAGTACAGAGTGTTCTCAGATAGTTGCAGCGAGTCGAGAGGCGGGTATTAAAGGGTATTAAAGGGTATAAAAGGGTATAAACGGGTATGGAGCTGTGCAAATAGCGGCTGTGTGGCTCCACACGAGACCACTTTTAAGCTCACGTCGTTCACGAAAATCACAACTCAGCAGACTTTCCCACGCTGTCAACCCCTCACGCCGCCGGCTGTCACTTGAGGTTTCCGCCTTTTTAATATTTCACAGTGAAGCAATCATCGCGCCGCAGCCAGAATATAAAAAGCGGCACCTCGCCCAGTTGCCTCCGGCTGTCATTTTCGGCGTGATTTTTATTCTCCACTCCAGCTCCTCCCGAGTCGACGCCAGTGCTCAGAGCGAGAGCCAGCTGTGAGCATCCGAAGCAGCTTTTCCCCTCCGTGGTCACTCTCATCAGTCAGCGGTTCGGTTTCCTTGATGCTCTCACTGGTTCTTTTGGATTCATTTAGAATAATTGGAAAAAACAATCCACGTTACATCATTATTCTTGCAGCAACTAGCCTGCGGTGAATCTCGTGGAATCTCCTGTTGTGATCAAACTCCACATGTCATCGCCATGGTTACCTGCTGCTCCACCGACACACGGGTGATCTGCCGTTGGTCCCGTGTTGGAACGAACTGCTGCTGGTCCTTATTTTACAGGAGAAAATGGCGTAAGTTACATGCACAGCTGAAAGCTTCCACCAAGAGGCTGCTTTGTGTCCTTGAGGGGACAATATGAGACGTCTCCCGGAGGACGCGGGAGCACTGGACCCTCGCCGAGTCTCTGACGTCGCCCACGAGCGTCGGAGAGAATCCACCGATGCACCTGGACACCCGGTGTGAAAGGTCAAGTGTGCGGCTGATTGTCATTTGTCCCGTAAAGAACTGGACTATTTCATTGTTTGCTCCAAATAAATAAATAAAGCTGTTCAGCAACACGAGTGATTTTATGCAAAAGGAAATTGTTCTTTCTGCCACTTCCTGTTTATGTCATGTTTCTATGTTTACAATACGACAGACTGTTGAGGCTTTCCACCCCCCCCCCCCCACACACACACACACATCTTCCATGTAGAACCATGTCTCCTTCAACACAGCATGACGCTCATTCAGTAAATGAACGTCCAAACGTCCATTTAGAGACGGAGACACCATAAAGCAGGGGATGCTTCAGGGCGGGGCTTATTGTGATTGACAGGTCAATTGCTCAGTCGCTCGGAGGAGGCCGACATAAGATGGAGGGAAAAAAAGCCGTGGGATCGATTGGCCAAAGAGGAGGTGGAGCAGCTGGAGAGGAGAAGACTGTTGTGCACCCAGAGAACAGAGTTCAAATAAGTTGGCACACTGTCGTGGCAGCAAAGACTCCCCGTTTGCTTAATCAATACTTTGCCGTGGATCGTTACTACTAATTGTTTTTGCAATTAGCGCGCTGGCTGAGAAAAGGAGCGTCTGCAGACGATTAACAGCCGAGTGCTGAGATTCATTCCACATCCAGCAAGGAAGGTTTATATACGTACTTAATACTTCTCAGTTGTACATTTACTGTCCACTCCAACTTAAGTGGATACAAATAAGTTAAACCGTAAGAATACGAGGCCAAAACAAATCAAAAGTCTTTGATTCTCACTTTGCTTTTACTTTATCTTCTTTTTATGCATATTTAAGAAGCATCAGAGATCCAAAATTCTCGTTGCCAACTGCTGCTTCTCTGTAATTGTCGTGCAGACGATGACAAAAGAAATCGCTCACGTGATAAAACCGACCGAACGAAGAGGCGTTAAGTTTTTCCCTGGGAGAGAAAACGCAAGAAAATGACAGAAGTTCATAAACTTTTTTGCGGCGGTTCAAAGATTAAAAAGACTTCCGAGACTTTTTCCACAAGATTCTATAACAGCAGCAAATCTAATACTTACACAGTCCTTTCACAGACAAATGTTCACAAAAGATTTAGTTGGATTTGAAGTGTGAACATGGCTGATTTAAGCCGTTTTATGAGTAAACTTTAGTCAGACATGAGGCCCTTTACAAGAAATGTCCCCCATGTGAAAAGCAAAAGCTCCTGTTTGTCCCCTCCGGGCTGCTGTAGGAACATGTCAGCCCCATTTTTAAAAATAATTATTATATTATTACACTTATACACAACAAAAACTATAGCTAATTGTATATTTTTTGAGTTATTCCATCATGTTTTTGTGTCTGCAGAAAAAACATCCAGTTGAGAAATATAAAGTTGTGGGTCGGGTTGTTGGACTGTATACATGAGACATGCACTTTGTCCTACAATATACATTATTATGCTTAATAAGAACTACAAGGAGTAATGGTACAGGTAAAAAAAAATAAACACCATATTCATCACAATATTAACATAAAACAACCGATCCTACAACACGCATGTTATAGCACTATTCCTTTCTATTTCTGCTATTAGTATTGTATTATTATCCAGAGCACTACACATAGTCATATTTCTACGTCTAACTGTTTATTAGCCATATTTATACTATCTGCAGTACTCCGAACAAAATGACTGTACTGCAGTTAATTTATAGGTTATAAGTTAAAGAAAAATAATATTGGATGTAACAGGATTTCTTTAATTTCTCTGGTCTTTTGTCTTTTTCTTTTATTCATTTCAACTCAAGCGGTGCCGCTGAAACATTTGAATCCAAAGAAGATATAAGTTATAAGTGTATAAGTTGCATTTAATGTTAACATCTGAGCTTCTAATCCACCTGGCACGTAAACCAGAGAACAGCATTACCCATGATGCCCCGCTGCAGACACCCCCCCGCCCCGCCCCGCCCCCTCGTTTGAATGGCAAGTTGTTTGCTTCAGTCCGGCCAGCTGCTAACTATTCCAGTCGGAGAGCAGCGGTCCTGTGCTCCCGGTTAACCAGCCAACAAGCTGCCGGAAGCTGCTCGCACGGGCACTTCCGCTCTCTCAGGGGTTTTCTATCAAAATAAAAGCAACGGGTTCGAAACGTATGAAATAAAATATTAATAAATTGGACTGAATATAATTTGAAATATCTAAGCGGTATTTATCTGCATCACTGATGTTACACCATGATGCAGTTACAGGTGAATAATTAAGAGATCACATCGGATTGATTGATTTTGTTTGGCACAAACGACAAAATATCACAGTTTCCGGGCTATGTGCGCCCTTGGCACCCCCCCCCCCCCCCCCACCCCTATTTTTGCACAAGCCCCCACCCCTCCCTCTCTCCACCCCCAGCCTGAACTCTTAATGTGTGTTTTAACTTTATTTTTTCTTTGATAAACCCTTTTTAATAGTTTAACTGCATGTGTATATTATGTTTGTATATTGTCAAGAGCTACTTGGATCTTGAATTTCCCCTCGGGGATCAATAAAGTACTTCTATTCAATTCTATTCTAAAACAGCGTGTTTTCACAAGTTGAAGATCCATCAGCTCTGTTCATTGATATAATCCGCCAGCTAGCACTTATAAAACTTATTAAAAGCCACAGTAGCCTTCCTCTCTCTTATAAAAGGCTTTTTATTTGAAAATTTACCACATTCTGTATTTTATAATTACTTTTTTTTTGTAATTCCAACGTTCCCTGTGTGCCGCCTCTAGGGAGACCTTTATTCTGAAAGCCTTTAACCGGAAACACGCGCGGTTCCGTCGCACGTCTTGACGGCGGCTCGGTGTTTTTTCTTTTTTTTTTTTTTTTTCACCTCTTAGCTTTTCTTTATTCCAGCCTGCATAGCTCCCTCTTTCTCTATTTAAACGCGCCTTTCCTCGCGCCGCGCGTCTCCTGGTCGGTTTATTTATTTATTTATTAACGTCTCCCCTGGACGCCTCGCTGCTTCCCCGCTGTCACCATTTATTATTGTTGTTTCAAAAACAAAAACAACATCTCACGCCGTCCCTCAAATGAGAAGACGCAGAAGATGGAGCTTCACATCCTAGAGCACAGCCTGAAAGTGGCGAGCATAGAGAAGGAGGGCATCCAGATCTGCACCCACGGACTCGTGAAACTCGCCTTCCTGGCCTCCAGAACCAGGTAACGTGACTCCGCCGCACGCGGCGTCTTGGCGAGCGTTTGGCAGCCGCGAGGACGCCGCGTGCACGCGGGTTCGATTCATGCAGCCTGCAGTTTAGTGCTGTTATCATGTCTTTATTCTAGGGGGGGCACAGTTCACGGGCCCGTCCTGGTTCTGGGGGGCGGTTGAGTTGTCTGTAGCTGGGTTGGACGGCGGGGAGGGGGGCTGTTTTTCCTCCTCTAAAGGGGGGGGGGTCATGACATGTTTTTTATCACCTTCAACAAGCAGCTTAAGGATGAAGCTGATTATCAAACACAAGGAGACTTTAATTGAAAAAGTCGTTTTGTGACTTAGTTGGTTCTGGCTTTGCGAATAATTATAGTGCACAACTTCTCCAAACTCAAAAGCCCAAATGTGTTCTACCGATATCAAACTGAGAGAAGCAGCTAATCTACCAACCACTGAATTATTTTAACGTTTTTGCACATTTGCTAGAAAAACATGAAACATTTAATAACCGTTTTACTTCATCGGGGTGATGATGCTGCATTCAGGTGCCGTCTGCGATGCTGTAAATAACAGATTTGGGGCTTTGATAGAGCACATTTCAGCATCCGAGTCGGCCCCTAAATAAAAAGTTAATGCCCTGGGAAGCAAAAACATAAATGTCTGAAGTCACCCAGAGTTCATCCATCATTCCATGTAATGAAACACAAACTTAATACATTAAAGTGATATATTTCGGGAAGCTCACAAAGGAAAAAAAGAAAGATCCCGATAAGTCTCGTCTCACAAATGCAATTATTAATTAGCAGACGTCTTGGAAATATCCCACTCTGAATAATTAGGTTTTGTGGATAGAGACGTATATTCCTGCTTCATTTATTTAATTCAATTTTGTTGCAACCATATTATTCGGGTCTGAAACAGGCGCTTTTGTGAGTAGATGTCAGTGAGGAAGTTAAAAACAGACATGATGCATAAGTCAAATAATGAGCTGGTGTTCTGCCACTAAAGGCTCATCGGCACACAGTTTGCACGTCTAGTGTGAATGTCTCGATTTTATAAAAGCTACCAGGATGCCAAAGATTGATTTATAAGTTCATCAGAGACTGAATCCTCCTTTTCAACCGATTCACCGTGACGTCAAACGAGGACAGACTGAGATCCTCCTTCAGAGACCATGTAGTCCACCGAGGACAGACTCAGATCCTCCAGCAGAGACCATGTAGTCCACCGAGGACAGACTCAGATCCTCCAGCAGAGACCATGTAGTCCACCGAGGACAGACTCAGACCCTCCAGCAGAGACCATGAAGTCCACCGAGGACAGACTCAGATCCTCCAGCAGAGACAGTCCACCGAGGACAGACTCCGATCCTCCAGCAGAAACCAGTCCACTGAGGACAGACTCAGATCCTCCAGCAGAGACCAGTCCACTGAGGACAGACTCAGATCCTCCAGCAGAGACCAGTCCACTGAGGACAGACTCAGACCCTCCAGCAGAGACCAGTCCACCGAGGACAGACTCAGACCCTCCAGCAGAGACCAGTCGACTGAGGACAGACTCAGACCCTCCAGCAGAGACCAGTCGACCGAGGACAGACTCAGACCCTCCAGCAGAGACCAGTCGACTGAGGACAGACTCAGACCCTCCAGCAGAGACTAGTCGACCGAGGACAGACTCAGATCCTCCAGCAGAGACCATGAAGTCCACTGAGGACAGACTCAGATCCTCCAGCAGAGACCAGTCCACTGAGGACAGACTCAGATCCTCTAGCAGAGACCATGAAGTCCACCGAGGACAGACTCAGATCCTCTGTGGACTGGTCTCTGTGCACCACCCCACGCGCACAGGCAGTTTAAACCAGAGGTCAATTTAAGGGGGGACACTGCAAGGTCAATTATGTCGTTATCACTACTTGGTCCAATTGTGTCTGTAGATTTCTCCCAAAGGGACCATTCGATGATTTGCTCGTTTGCATTCTGTAAGATGAGATCCATTAGTTCATTATCTTACAACGTCCACCTGCGACGTCACTGAACTTCTCTTTAGGCCGTTTTCTCTGAATTAGTTTTGCTCTCAGATGTCTCAAAAATATTTCACTCTAATTTGTCAATAAAATGAAACCAGGCTTCATCCAGTGTTTGCATTTCGGTTATGGAAAGATATTCAAACGAGCACATATTTGACAAGCTAATGCCGAATTTGCATATTTCATTTTCAGAAAACGTGCTAAAAAGGAAATAGTGTCCGTCAGTAATCAGCTGGGCAGTGTGATGGAGATCTTTATTAGGTCATGTCTTTGGATAGTCAGAGAATGAATGTAATAAGTTTCCTCATCTTTCATTGAGTGATTTCTGTTAAACCGGCTCGTCCAATCAAACAAGAGGAAGTTTGACACGAGACCCGAGCCGCATTCTAAAGTGTTCGTTTGCTTCATCAGAATGAGTTCAGCTCATTTCCTGAAAGCGCTCCCTGTTATCTGTGTTCCTCCAACGTTACATATTCAACGAATGTTATTCATTTAGGACGGCGCACGCAGCGCGAAGCAGCTAAAGACGCACATGTTCCCTCCAGGGGAGGAACAGGACGCACAAACACAACAACACGTCAACATGAGGACGATTCATTGGTCAGCGTTTCAGTTCTAGGTCTCTCTCGTGTCTTTCTCATGGAGTCTGTGTCTCTCTCTTGTCTTTCTCATGGACTCTGTGTCTTTCTCATGTCTTTCTCATGGACTCTGTGTGTCTCTCTCTTGTCTTTCTCTTGGACTCTGTGTGCGTCTTTCTCTTGTCTTTCTCATGGACTCTGTGTCTTTCTCATGTCTTTCTCATGGACTCTGTGTCTTTCTCATGTCTTTCTCATGGACTCTGTGTCTCTCTCTTGTCTTTCTCATGGACTCTGTGTCTTTCTCTTGTCTTTCTCATGGACTCTGTGTGTCTTTCTCTTGTCTTTCTCATGGACTCTGTGTCTTTCTCATGGACTCTGTGTGTCTTTCTCATGTCTTTCTCATGGACTCTGTGTGTCTCTCTTGTGTCTTTCTCATGGACTCTGTGTGTGTGTGTCTCTTGTGTCTTTCTCATGGACTCCGTGTGTGTCTCTTGTGTCTTTCTCATGGACTCCGTGTGTCTCTCTCGTGTCTTTCTCATGGACTCTGTGTGTCTTTCTCTTGTCTTTCTCATGGACTCTGTGTGTCTTTCTCTTGTCTTTCTCATGGTGTGTGTGTGTGTGTGTGTGTGTGTGTGTGTGTCTCTCTCGTGTCTTTCTCATTGACTCCGTGTGTGTCTCTCTCGGGTCTAATCGTGAGGGACTCCGTGTGTCTTTCTGTTGTCTTCTCATGGACTCTGCGTGTGTGAGTGTGTGTGTGTCTATATGTCTTTCTCATGGACTCTGTGTGTCTCTCTCGTGTCTTTCTCATGGACTGTGTACTCGGTGTCTTTCTGTTTACGGGCTCATGGCTCATGATTCAATAAACATTAGTTCACTTGCTGTTGATCAGAACACAGCGGGTCATTGGTTCGTGTTCGTTGGGACTTGGACGCCGTGGAAGACGTGTCGTCAATCCAGGGCGCCGTTGTCGTCGTCCTAAAGTCCCGAGTCAGCGATTCATGACGAGGTGGTCCAACGAATGGGTTTAATCAATCAACCAAAACACAGGCGACGAGGACGTACTCGAGTAGAATAAATCTGAAAAGAAATCGAATTCTAACAGTCTTGTTTGATAGCTCGGTTATAAAACAGGAAGTGGTCTTTTTGTATGAAGCTGAATCTCCTCGAGTCCGATCCGTCCTCTCTTCTCCGCCCGCACAGATGCAAGTTCTTCAGCCTGACGGAGACCCCGGAGGACTACACCCTAATCGTAGACGAGGAAGGCTTTAAAGGTGGGCCTCTCCCTCTCTCTCTCCCTCTCTCTCTCTCTCTCGCCGCGCTTCGTGGTCGGCTGATGAACTCATCTCACGCGATTCTTCTCGGTCTCCGTGGAGACGACCGGTTGTTTGTTGCGTAACTGGCGCAGGTATTTTCTACTGTCCTTAGAGATAGAAATGTAAGATACAGTTTTGACTTCTTCTTTTTTTTAAAAACCTCCAGAAGAAGCTAATGAAGATCTGATATCTGACCTTTTACTGTGGACAGAATTCTGTCCCACGGATGATTAGGCCGCAGCACTATAACGTCTGAGGGTTAGTCATTTATTAAGGCAGCCATGCAGGAAATGTTAACATTAATCCACTAGTGACACCACAGGGCCATTAGATTTAACATATTTTTAATCAGGGCTCCAAGTATTGTTGTAAATTATTATCTTGATACCTCCAGACCAAAAGTCCAACACAAGCAATATTTAATGTACCATCAAATATGAGAAATTGGTTCAGGCAGGAAAATGTGACGTAAGAGTCAATATTTAATATAAATGTTTTAAACTTCTAAGTAAAGTTTATTGGATATAGAACCTTTCATTGAGATGAAAAAGTGCGTTTTTGCAAAAAAAAATTTAATAGAACTAAAAACAGAGTAACAGAAATAGACAACGGTGCTTTAAAAGAGGAAAAACAGGAACTACGACACATAAAAAAAGAGCCATGCTCATTGCTCATTTTTACTTCTCTATTTATTCCAGACTGGTGTTGAAAGAGCGTATCATTATATTTCCCAGCAAAGAGTATAAAAATAAAAAAGTGCGTCCGGTTGAAACTCTCATGGTGAAAGAATCCTCTTTTTAACTCGTCCCCTCGGGTTTTCCGCCTGGGCGCTTAGTGACGAGCGTGTCCCCGTCCCTCCCCCCCCAGAGCTGCCCCAGTCGGAGCACATCAGCGTGGCCGACGCCACGTGGGTGGCCCTCAACGTGGTGTCGGGCGGCGGCAACGCCTCCAACTCGCAGCCCATCGGGGTCACCAAGATCGCCAAGTCGGTCATCGCGCCGCTGGCCGACCACAACATCTCCGTCTTCATGCTGTCGACGTATCAGACCGACTTCATTCTGGTGAGTGCGGACGTCCGGGTGCGTGAGGGTCCCCCTATGGAGCGTTTGCCCCTATTGCCCCGTTCTGGAGGAAAAACAAGGTCCGCTGAGCGGCTTTATGAAATGTGACAGAAAGCCCGATAATCGGTTACGTAAAGAGGATCAGCGGCTCGACGTTGAGCTCCAGGTATCCGACTCGGGGGCCCGTTTCCTGCCCGCCGTCCTAATTACAGCTTCAGAAAACAAAAGAAACCTGCCGAAGGTCTCCGGTCTCTGTCCTCGTCCTCCGCTCTGGACCCACCGACTGGTGTCTTCTGCCCTCAGGTGCGGGAGCGGGACCTGCCCATGGTCACGCACACGCTGTCTTCTGAGTTCACTTTGCTCCGGGTGGTCAACGGAGAGGCCGTGGCCGCCCCCCACCTGGGGGCCGCCAACGGCTTCGTGAAGCCCAAACTCGGTAGGCCTGAAACAACCACATAAGCTCCTCCCCACGTCAGCGGTTTGAACCTCAGGTTCTGTGAGCTCACCATCTGCCCCCCCGTTTCCCTTCCAGCGCCGCGTCCCGTCATCCATCCCCTCTCCAGTCCCAGCAACATGTTCTGTGTGACCAGCCTGGACCCGGACACGCTGCCCTCCGTGGCCACGCTGCTCATGGACGTCATGTTCTACTCCGGAGGGTGAGAGTCAAACGGCGCCGCGGCGGCCTTTTATTGATCGGGGTCTCAAAAAGCTCAAGACGATCCTTCCAGTTCTTCTTCTTCTTCTTCTGCTAGTTTTGAGTTGAATAGACGGATGTTGTGTGAGGATGACACCTAATGACTTGAGGATATTCATGCAGTCTCCTTTTATTATTAGTATTATTGCCATGAAAGTGACCCTGAAGTACAAAGAGAAAGATCTCCTCATGCAGAACACGTTCCAGGATACTGTTCATTATGTCACCGAATTGAGTGTTTTAACTGCTGCCGTACAGCTTGTAGTTTTCCCCCGAGGATTCAATTAAGTGTGAAATTGAAAAATTGTCAGTAAAAAAAAATAACAATATCCTCCCGTAAAATGTATTTTGAGTCGCAGTGTAAAAGTCGTTGCGTTCTCCTCCCTGCAGGTCGAAGGAGGCCTCGGCCGCCAGCGAGGACTCCGGCCACATCCGCTTCTTCTCCTTCTCGCTGATCGAGGGCTACGTGTCTCTGGTCATGGACGAGCAGACGACTCAAAGGTCTCTAATCAACGTCCCTTGTCCTCTCGAGATGTTGTCCTCCTTTACAGTCACTTAGGGCCGGGACATTATGTGCACGCCGGGGGGGGGTGGGGGGGGGGACTAATTTATGATGATGGTTGTTGTTGTTGTTGAAGAGGGAGAGTTGGTTGCTAAGCAACAGCAGAGCAGTCGGGCATATACGGCGTACCTAAGTCACAGCGGGTTTCAGTCTGACTCGTTTGTCCCCCGCCGGGTCCCCCTCCGTCTCACAGAAGACCCTCTCATGGAGCAAACAGCAGCAGCTTCTGTAATCACGGAAGAGTCAGCGGCGTCTCAAAGATGGATGGACCATAAAGAGACGCTAAGTGACCACAAAGAGGCAGAAAGACACAAAACAATTCAGAAAGACGCATTGCAAAAGAACTGCTCACAGACATGAAGTGACCACGAAGACACGGAAGGACCTCGTTGGTATCGTTCTGCTGCAGCATGTAGGTCGGCCTCGTCTCCGTGTTGACGTAAGACCTAATGTGTTGCCTTAAAGGAATAGGTCACCCATTTCACTCCACTTTACAATGGCTGCTTCACTCGGGGCGGCGGGTTGCTCAGCAGTGACACGGCTCACCTGAGTGCTTAATAGTTGGCCGCTGCAGAGGAGACGGCACCGCGGCAGGCGGAGATTTGAACGAGTGAAAAGCGTCCACGGGAGAAATGTACCGTAATAACTGAATTAAAAGATGTTTGGACCTCTCACCTGATTGCGTTTGTTGTCTTCAAGGTTCCCCCCCAACCTGTCCTCTTCACCAGCGCGTCGGGGGAGCTC